ATTTCCAGCAGACCCAGAACGACCTGGAGCGCTTGACGCGGCTGGTTGTGGCCCACGATTACCTGAAGAGCAATGAGCGGCTGCGTGTGACGGGGGAGGAGTGTGAGAATAAGAGACGGAGGGTGCAGGAGCTTGAGGACAGCGCAACGAAGCTCAAGGGCGAGATCGCCCACTTGGAGGACGATGTGAAGAGAGTCAAGGCCGCTCGTGATAAGGAGCTCCGTAAGGGCGGCAAGTTCCAGGCCCTGGAAGACGAAGTGAAGTCTAACTCGCACGAGCTCGTCCGATTGACTACGGTATTCGACCTCAAGAATGCTAGCATCGCTGAGGAGAAGGAGAAAATGAAGGAATCCCAGAAAGCAGTTAGCGACCTGGAAAAGGCCCTTAAGGAGAAGAAGAAGGTCTACGATAAGATGCAGGCCGAGTTTGATGCCGCCAAAGCAGAACTGGACGCCCAGACCTCCGAGGTGGAGCAGAAAGAGGAACTACTGCAAACACTCCAGACCGGTGTGGCTTCGAAAGAAGGCCAGGAGAGCGGTTATCAGGGTCAGCTGCAGGATGCCCGTAATCGTGCTAGCGCAGCTGCGACGGAACAGGAGCAAGCCAAGTTGAAAATCGCGCACTTGGAAAAGAGAATCAAGGAGGAAGAGCCCAGGGCGAAGAAGGCAAAAGAGCAGAATTCCGGTCTTCTCAAAGAACTGGAAGGATTGAAGTCTCAGGCGAAGAAGCTAGAGGCTGAGCTTACTAGGCTGGGATATGAGCCTGGCAGAGAAGAACAGCTTAACCAGGAGCAGGCGGAACTGCAAAGGGACATCCGCGAGCTGCGCCGGAGAGCTGACGAGCTCCAGAGGAAGGTCGCAAATATCGATTTCCAATACGCTGATCCTCATCCTCATTTCGATCGCTCAAAGGTCAAGGGTCTTGTTGCGCAGCTTTTCGCCTTGGACAAGGAGAAGGTTCAAGCTGCAACTGCGTTGGAGATTTGCGCTGGTGGACGCTTGTACAACGTTGTCGTTGATTCTGCTGAGACTGGTACCCAACTTCTAAAGAACGGCAGGCTTAAGAAGCGTGTGACAATCATTCCCTTGAACAAGATCTCGTCTTTCAGGGCCTCGGCAGAGAAGATCGGAGCCGCTCAGAATATCGCCCCTGGTAAGGTTGACCTTGCCTTGTCACTAATCGGTTACGACGAGGAAGTTACAGCGGCAATGAACTATGTTTTTGGCAATACCTTGATCTGCCAGGACGCTGAGACGGCCAAGCGCGTCACTTTCGATCCATCTGTTCGCATCAAGAGTGTGACGCTCGAAGGCGACGTCTATGACCCCTCGGGTACACTGTCCGGTGGCAGCTCCCCGAACTCAAGTGGTGTGCTCGTGACGCTCGGGAAATTGAATGAGATCACCAGAGAGATCCGCAGCAAAGAGCGACTCCTCGCCACCGTCGAAGAGACCATGAAGAAGGAGAAGAAGAAGCTTGACGCAGCCCGAACGATCAAGCAGGACCTGGATCTCAAAACGCACGAGATCAAGCTTACAGAAGAGCAGATCAGCGGCAACTCGTCTTCAACGGTAAGAGAAGTCTACCATGCATATCTCAAATCACACAATTCACAACAGCAGCTCACTGGAACTAGATCATTCAAGCCGTCGAAGAGATGAAAGCGAATATCGAGCAGCTGAAGCAGAACATTTTTGACGCGAAGACTCGACAAACAGAAGCATCCAAGGATATCAAGCGAATCGAGAAGGACATGAGCGAGTTCAACGACAACAAGGACAGCAAGCTGGCGGAGCTGCAAGCCTCTCTAGACTCTCTTAAGAAGAAGCTTTCTAAGAACTCCAACTCCGTGAAGACCCTACAGAAGGAACTCCAGAACTCCAGATTGGAATTGGAGCAGGTTGGCAGTGACCTGTCCGCGGCGGAGGAGCAAAGCTCCGAAGCCGAAAACACACTGAAGGCTCAGCTGGAGGAGATTCAGTCATTGAAGAGAGAACAGGCTCGGGTCAAGGTAGGCAAGCGAATAATTGCAGTGGCAAGTTGCGTACTAAAAATGTCATAGGATGCACACGACCTTGCACAAGCTCAGCTTGATGACGAACGAGCCAAGCTTAGCGGCTTTGATAACGAACTACGCGAGCTCGAAGTGGCGATGAAGTCTAAAGGCTCCCAGATAACTGAAGGCGGTCTCGAAATGCAGAAGCTGGGCCATCAGCTGGAGAAATTACAAAAGGACCAGCAGGTGGCTGCGCAGACGGTTGCCCATATGGAAAACGAGCATGAGTGGATCGCGGACGAGAAGGATAACTTTGGACGATCCAACACGCCCTACGACTTCAAAAATCACAACATTGCCGAGTGCAAATCAACTCTGCGGAATCTCACGGAGCGGTCCCAGGGTATGAAGAAGAAGATCAATCCCAAGGTCATGAACATGATCGACAGCGTGGAGAAGAAGGAAGCTGCGCTGAAGAACATGATGAAGACTGTCATTCGGGACAAGAGCAAGATCGAGGAAACGATCATCAACCTGAATGAATACAAAAAGGAGGCTCTTCACAAGACATGGGTTAAGGTCAATGGTGACTTCGGTCAGATCTTCTCAGAACTTCTGCCGGGCAGTTTCGCCAAGCTGGATCCTCCAGAGGGCAAGGATATTACCGATGGTCTGGAAGTCAAGGTCTCTTTGGGTAAGGTCTGGAAGCAGAGCTTGACGGAATTGAGTGGTGGACAGAGGTATGTGAAACCACACGGCGAAAGCCTTTGCGTATATGGACACTTACAGATGAGCAGATCTCTCATTGCCCTTTCTCTGATCATGGCGCTGCTGCAATTCAAGCCGGCCCCTATGTACATTCTGGACGAAGTTGATGCCGCTCTGGATCTTTCACACACACAGAACATCGGCCGCTTGATCAAGACGCGGTTCAAGGGATCTCAGTTCATCGTGGTGTCGCTGAAGGACGGTATGTTCCAGAACGCCAACCGTATATTCCGCACGAGATTCAGCGAGGGTACCAGTGTGGTCCAAGCTTTGACTGCTGCGGACCTTAAATAAGTTCGCCCTCCACAGAGACTTGATTCTTCGTTTGTGCATACTTCTTTTGGGCTACTCTGGTTAAGGACTGGGACAGGAAGCGTTATATTACCGGGTCATGGGGGTTACTGGATGAGGTGTTTTGGATGATGTATATGAATCTGGATGACTTTGCTGTTACAATTTAATGACATCTGTTGATAGTAACACGGCATTTTTGAAATAGTCGAGAATGGTGTATATGCACTACTCAATCGTACGAATACGAGTACGAGTTGGTAGGCAGGATGCCGTCAGCGGAAGTAGTTAGTTAACTTAAGTTAGTGAACTTCATACGGAGTTATCCAGCAGGGATTCCGCCCTCCCGTTCCGCCCTCCCGACTGCTCCACCGCCACCACATCGCCCGCTCTCCCTAATCTGCCGCGGCTTTCCTCAAGTTAACCAACATTCCCCTCCCTGGAAGCGTCTCCACCCATTATTTACCTTTTAGCGACAATTTGCCCCTGTTGCGGGTGACGTGAGGCCAGAGTTATTCTTCCACTCATTTTCGGCGATCTCACGCCTCTCACATCTGACATCCCTCGAGTCCTCCAACACTGACGCAGTCCCCTCCTTGACACGTGACCCATCACCATGCCTGACGAAGAACCGTCCTTGAACATCCCCTCCCTTCTCACCCTCGCCGTTGTCTCTTTCTTCGTGATTCGATGGTTTTTCAACCGTGACGGAGATGCTGGGGCCGAAACCGGTCGCAGCCGCACGCGAGGAAATGGCGTCGATCCAGCCCACGTCGAGCAGATCTCGCAGATGTTTCCTCAGCTCAGCCATCGCGAGATCATGTGGGACTTACAGCGCAACGGAGGGAACATGGCCGCTACTACGGAAAGAATCCTGACGGGCCGTGGCCTAGAAGTGGTACGTCTTGCGCCTAATGTGGTAGCACTCTGCTACTGTTCACCCTCTCTTGCCGGAGGGAGGGAGAGACTCAGCAGTCGGAACAGATGTTCAAACTAACGCCGCATGCAACCTCGATAGCCCCCTCCATCGTTCCAACCCCAGATCGCCATCCCGACCCCTACCGCGCCAGTACAGCCCGCCGCCGCTGCACCCAAGGCAGACGGCCAGGACCTGATCTCTCGGTACAACCTTCGCTCGAAAGTCGGCGCAGACGAGGACGCCGCGACCTCACAGGCTCAGTCCTCCACGGGTTGGTCGCAGAGCAAGGAGGAGCGACAGCGTTTGCTCCAGAAGCGCAGGGACGACATGATCTTGGCGGCGAGGAGGAAGATGATGCAAAAGGACCAGACGGCTGCTGCTCAATGAGGGCCCCCCTTTTTCGATGTGGCTCTGCGCCCAGGCTCTTCCCTCCCTACTATTCACTATTTCTTCGTTGTGACTTAGCACGGCCTGCATATATGCATGGGATCGATCGTTGTGGGCTTTCATCGCTTCAGGCTTCTCTCCCAGTCAAATTTGGATTGTCCTTTCCCTTTTTCTCTTTTTGTTGTGACCTGGCCTTTGTTAGCTCTCGTCGTTAGTTCTATACCTTTGCTTTTTTTTTTGTCGGCGTTGAGGATGGTTCAAGATTCAATCAATGCTGACAGTACCTTTTTCGGCTCGGCTCCGACATTTTCCATGTTTCGGGGGTGATGGTGTTGACTTTACTGCAAGTTGTTGTAGGTTGCTGTCCCTATTGGACGGATTCACCCTTTTTTGCAGGGCGCGACTTGTTCATACGGCGGGGGATTGTATCATTTCCAAGTAAATGGACCAGATTGATACGCACTGTATGCGGTGTAGTAAATCTGTCATCAAAAGAATACGCGAGGGTATATATACATATGACTTTCCCGGTTGGGTGCTGCAAAATGCCATGAAAAAAAAAGTACTGTATGTCTCCGTGAACGCCGACTGCAGATGAGCAGCCCTGTGTCAGAAAGGAAGGGGCCGTCTTCCCGAGATCTAGAATTCCATTTCATCGTCATCGTCCTGCGTCGCATCGTATCCACCGTTAGCCATCTCTTCCGCCAGCTCCTCCCTCCGAGCCTGTTCTCTGGATGCGCCGATCCGTCTAAGGACCAAAAAAGTTAGCCAGCTGCAAGCAACCAAAGAAGAACCTTCCCCATGATGTACACGGGAATAATCATACCGGAGCCCATCGACCACCCCGGAGATAAACCTCCGACCCTCGCCGAGCTCGATCGCCCCGACGCCCGTCAGCGCCACGCCGCCTCCGCCCATCGCCGCGGCGTCCAACGCGTCCACCCCGGACCGGATCTTGGCCATGCGCACCTCGCGCAGCTCCTTCAGCAGCCGGCGGGTCTGGTCGGGGTCCACCAGGTCGTCGCTCGCCGCGTCCAGAAGCATATTCCCGACCTCGAGCCAGTGGAAGGGCAGCGTTTGCAGCTCCTGCGGTGGGACATGGTCGCGCGCGACGTTCTGCGGCAGGAACGGCGGCGCCGGGTAGTATCTCTCGCCGTCCGGGGTGTAGCGCGGGGTGGCGACGGCGGGCTCGCCGCGGTCGTGGAGGAGGGGTTGGCCCGGTAGGGGCGGCGGCGGGGAGAAGGTGTCCTTGTACTCTTCGTATTGGGTCTCGATGTCCAGGATGAAGGAGAGGGACTCCGGATGGAGCCACGAGGGCGGGAGGATGTTGGCGCGTCGTTGGCGTTTGAGGAGAAGCGCGAGCCAGAGGGGGAGGGAGGCGCGTCGGGGGGGGATGAGAGGTTCAACGGGGCCCTGGTGTATTCAAGCTTTAGGATCTTCCATATGCGCAGAGAGAGGGAGATGCTGGTGCGGAGTGGGGAAAGGAGAGGTAGTTGTATAGAGACGCGGCTCGGTTACATGTGCGTGAGTGGTTTATGGAAATCGACTTTGAATGCGAATGGGGATATTTGAAGCATATCATGAGTGTTTCCTCGATCGCTAACACTTACACCAAGCAACTCCAGCCCTTCCAGACGCTGACGCGGCAGGATAGTGACCATCTCCATCTCGGCCAGAAAGGAGATCTCCGGGGGCATGATGCCCCGCGGGAGGGGAAAGGCCATTGTCCCTCAGTCAGGCAAATTGGGCGATGGAAAGGGATGGAAGGCTTAGCAGAGGGACACGGTCCATGCCCCGTGATCGATCTCTAACAGATGAAAAGAGAGCAAAATGCGACAGACGAGCTGTTCAGTCATGCCATTCAAGATCAAAGAAAGATTGACAGGCGTGTGGGAAGGCGGTCTGTTTGCCCGGTTTGCAGCGGAATTTATTCTTCCCTTTTCGGAGCTGTCGGACTTGATCCATATTGTACTGTACTTTCCCCTCCAATTGTGAAAGCATGAGTTTCGTTTGAAAAGGCATCCTTCATCATGAATGCGCAACCAAAGTCAGGCGTGGTTTTGGCCGCTCGCTATGCCGTGCCCTTTTGTTTGCTGTTGATCCCCATCTGGCTGAGCAGGATCAATGCTCACGTCCCCGAACCATATCTGGACGAAGCGTTCCACGTTCCTCAAGCGCAGGCTTACTGGGCTCACAAATGGACGCATTGGGATCCTAAAATCACCACTCCTCCGGGGCTGTATCTCTGGTCCTATGGGCTGTGCGCGGTTCTTCTGTTCCTTCGTGGTGCTCCTACGGAGCTTACCCCGGAAGTGCTGCGTGCGACCAACGTGGCAGCTACTGCCATTGCGCTACCGTATCGCTTGCAGACGTTGTTGGATAGATTGCGCAAGACTCGCAATACACGTCCCTCTGGGGCTTGGCTCAGCCATACGGTGCTGAACATCTGCCTCTTCCCGCCCATTTTCTTCTTTTCTGGGCTTTACTACACCGATATTCTTGCCTTGCTAGTGGTTGTTGAAGCATACAACTGGGACCTCAAACGTTCCGCAGACGGCGCGTGGGCTCCACTCAAGACCGGGGCTTTCATTCTCCTCGGACTGGTAGCTTTGGCGTTTAGACAGACGAACATTTTCTGGGGAGCCATTTTTCTAGGTGGACTGCAGGTTATCCGGCAGCTGAGACTGATATCTAAGCCGTGCCGGTCGTCGGGTCTCGCGGGCATTGCTCGACAGGGATGGCAGAATGAGCTGTACGACCCTCTCGTCTCGGAGGCTTCTATTGAAGGTGGGCTTTTTCTTCTTGAGGCTTGTTGTTGGCTTGGTTGACAATTCTAGACTATTTCAAAACCTCTATTTCACTGCTAACGGTCGCCGTGGGTAATCTCGGCACCGTGATCTGTACTTCAATTCCCTACCTCCTCATCCTCGCCGGATTTGGTTCATTCGTCTTCTGGAATGATGGTGTTGTCCTAGGTGGGTTTGTTCGTCTCCAGAAAACCCTCATGTAGATCACTGACAATCCCCAGGGCACAAGGAATTCCACACTGCCGGCATTCATCTGCCGCAGATGCTCTACATCTGGCCCTACATTGTGTTTTTCTCCTGGCCACTACTCCTCGGACCTGTCATCAACTTGGCTCTTCCCAAGTCCTTCCTTCCAAAGTTCATCGATTTCGGTTTCTCCAAGAGACAGAAGGGACTCCCAAAGCTGCTGACAGCACTTATTGTGATTCCAACTATGCTAGTCGTTGTCCACTTCAACACCATTGTGCATCCTTTCACGCTGGCTGACAACCGCCATTACGTCTTCTACGCTTTCCGGATCCTCCTACGAACCCATCCAGCGGTCAAGTACGCCGCTGTTGTCGTCTACTTCCTTTGCGCATGGATGGTAATCTCTGCCCTCGGTTTCTCCACTGCCCCTCAGCCGCCCCAGATGAGGCAGATTTCGCAACCTGCAGCCTGGCAGTACCCGGAGCAGCAGAAAGAGCCGACCCAGAAGAAGGTGGAGCGCAAGCAGAAGACAGCAAAGAAGGCTGTCAAGGCATCTAAGCCGGCGGCACCCAAGCTGGAGCCCATTTCCGAGGAGGCATTCGCCAGGATCCAAGCCCACCTCATTCAGCGCCAGAAGCAACAGCAAGGGGCGCCGCAGGTGAGCTTTGTGCTCGTCTGGCTCGCGGCCACGGCGTTGTCTCTCATCACTGCTCCTCTGGTTGAGCCACGATACTTCATCATTCCGTGGGTTATGTGGCGTCTTCACCTTCCGCCGCAGCCGACGCCGTTGGTGCACCGGCGTCCCCAGACTGCTATTGATGAACTCAACGCAAAGATGGCTACCAACTTTCCGTTGTTCTTGGAGACCTACTGGTTCTTGGTTATCAACGCGGTGACCGGATACATTTTCTTGTACTGTGGGTTCGAATGGCCGCAGGAACCAGGCAAGATCCAGCGGTTCATGTGGTGAGACTGGGGCTTGGTTGAGATTGTATAGTATATAGAATCTATGTAAAATAGTGTATTATTAGTGTATCCAATTGTTTACTTGTGGTAAATTAGCCCGACAACGTATCAAAGAAGATAGTAGACCTTCAATGGTGGAATGGCAGCTGCGGTGGTACGCAAGCCGACAATTGATTGTTCCGCCCACTTCCTTCTCCGCACCAACCTCACTTCTCCAACTTTTTGTTCGCTTTCATTGAATCTGCCTCCACGATGGACGAACCAGACCGTCCTTCGAAACGAGCAAAACTTCTCGCGCCAGCTACGAAGCCCGAGGTTTCTGACGAAGGTCATGCACCTAGTCATGACGATAGCACCGATCTCATCAAACCTCTAGCTTCGCTGCACCGCTCCATTACACCTCCATTATCATCCCGCTCCCTCAGGGACCCCGCACGACCGCCACCAGCCCACGACTCCTCCATATCCTCTCCGTCCAGCAAAGCACAGCAGCCATGCAGTCGGGACCAGAAAGTCCTCCCCTCGCCCATCCAACTCACCCACATCCGAGACTTCCCACCCTCCTCCGGCAACAATGTCGACACGGTCCGACTCCGCGATATCCTAGGCGACCCCCTGATCCGCGAATGCTGGCAATTCAACTACCTCCACGATGTAGACTTCCTGATGAGCCAGTTCGACGAGGACGTGCGGGCCCTTGTCAAGCTGAAGGTGGTGCACGGGTCGTGGAAGCGCGAGGCGCCGAACCGGGTGCGCATTGATGTATGTTTCTGCCCGTCACGAATTTCAGACCCCAGAGAATCCCAGTGGACTAACACTACCAACCACCTCAGGAAGCATGCGCACGATACCCCAATGTCGAGGCGATCGTGGCCTACATGCGCGAAGCCTTCGGAACCCACCACTCCAAGATGATGGTTCTCTTGCGACACGATGATTGTGCCCAGTGCGTCTCTTTCCCGCTTCCCTAGTATGAAGTGTACGTGCGTATGTGAATGGGGAGGCTTAAGCGCTAAACCTTGAGGAAATAGAGTTGTCATCCACACGGCCAACATGATCCCCGGGGACTGGGCGAATATGACCCAGGCGGTGTGGCGATCCCCTCTCCTTCCGCTGAGCACGAGCAGAGATAAAGTTGATCCGAGCGATAGTGACGACTCCCAACAACTCCCCGGGTCCGGAGCCAGATTCAAACGAGACCTGCTGGCTTATCTGGGTGAGTATGGGTCCAAGAAGACGGGCCCGCTGGTCCGGCAACTGCGTCAGTATGATTTTGGGGCTGTGCGGGCGGCGCTCGTTGCCAGCGTGCCGTCGAAGCAGAAGTTGAGCGAGGCGGATGCGCGGGTCAAGACGCTTTGGGGCTGGGTGGCGTTGAAGGATGTGTTGAAGGATGTGCCTCTCGCCGTTTGTAATATCAAGAAGGAGGGCGAAGGCTTTGAGGAAAGGAAGGAGAAGAAGAAGAGGCCGCACATTGTTGTTCAGGTGAGTTTGAGGTTCTGTCTGTATCGGTGCTTGTGCTACTGCTACTACTGCAAATATGGGATCATGCTGATCTGCTCCAGATCTCCTCGGTGGCGTCACTCGGGCAGACAGACAAATGGCTGAGAGATGTCCTGTTCGCATCCCTGGCGCCTAAGAGAGAGGCCTTCAAACCGCGGTACTCTATTGTCTTTCCCACGCCGGATGAGATCCGGCGCTCCTTGAACGGGTACGGATCCGGTGGCTCTATCCACATGAAATTGCACAGCGCGGCTCAGCAGAAGCAGCTACAGTATATGCGGCCCTTTCTGTGCCGTTGGGCAGGGGATGATGATGATAATGATGATGAGCAACCCACCGAACCACGACGGGAAGCGGGCCGCCGACGTGCGGCGCCGCATATCAAAACATACATCCGGTTCTCTACGGAAGAGAAGACCACGATCGATTGGGCTATGGTCACGTCGGCGAATCTGTCTACACAGGCGTGGGGTGCGGCGGTCAATGCGAACGGGGAGGTGCGGATCTGCAGCTGGGAGATCGGCGTGGTGGTGTGGCCGGAGTTGTTGACCAGAGAATCACCGGACACCGACACCACTGCTCCTGCGAAGACAGTGATGACGCCGTGCCATCGAACAGACACCCCCGCTGCCGCTGCAGACGATGCCGCCGTCACAGTCGGATTCCGGATGCCATACGATCTCCCTCTAACTCCATATCACGCAGAAGACATCCCCTGGTGCGCCACAGCCAGTCACAGCGAGCCCGACTGGCTTGGACAGACATGGGAAGGTTGAGAATGGAAAGCCCAAGTGACACCAGAGCACTCGACATGTATATATGACTTACCCAACCCACACACACCACCCCCTCAACTCTATACAATCGACACCCCTACCTCAATTCGGGGATTCAAAAACAAGACGGACGGCAGGAAATGCTGCTTCGCTCATAACATTGCATAATCAAGAGGACACACACACACTCATTCGACTATCCATAGGCCAAATGGAAGAGAGAATTGAACCAAGAAAAAAAGCGAGAACCCAAAGCAGATAGCAAAAAAAGTCCCCAGAGTTCCATAACCAACAAGTGTAGGTATGTTTCAGTCACGCTTTCATTCCGTCGTCTACTGAGTACCGTACTTCTCGATGAGGTCGTTAACCTCCTTGATGTAGTTGGCCTGAGCGCGCTGCTGGCTGATGTGGCTGATCTCCTTCCAGGCGTTGTACTTGTACTTGGACTGTTTGTGGTGCATGCTTAATTAGCCCACTTCTTCCTCAACTCCCCCGCCCTTGGAGACTACCTTCCAGCCTCCAGGGGTAAATGCAAGACCAAAGTATGGGATGATAAACTCACCTCCAACTGATAGAAAGAAGGCTGGGCGGGCTCCTCGTTTCTCGAGCGCTTGAAGTACTTGTAAAGCTGTCGAGCAAAACAAAAGAAATCAGCATCGGCATCGGCAATCCAAAGATTTGATCATAGTTCTCCTTGGAGAAGCTCTTCTGGACAAAAAGAAAAACAAAAAAACACATACAGTCAACATCTCGGTCTGCCCGGGCTCGGAAGACAGCTGCTTGACGAGCAGGGTGGCGAACTCGAAGGCGCTCTGCAGGGCGGCGGCCTGCTCGCCCTCGACGGAGGCGCTGTCATCGCCGGCCAGGACGACCGCGATGGCGGCGGAGAAGGCGTCGGCGTTGACCTTGTCGGCGGCGGCCTGCACCGCGGGGGTGTACTGGGCCTTGGACTGGGCGGCCGAGAGGGCGGTGGTGAAGGCGGAGACGGACATTTTGGAGGATGTTTTTCTTTTTTTTTGTTTGTGAAAAGGGGGTTGAGGTTGAGGAGGAGGAGTGGGAATGGAAAAGGGACGAAAGAAGAGGGGAAATCAGATGGATTGATGGATTGATGGAGGGGGCGTGACTTGGTCAATGGTTGTCGTGGTGGGGGTGGAGGGGTGGGTTTGTTTGGTTTGTTTGGGTTTGGTTTGGTGGGGTTGACGCTTGGAGAAAGAGGGGATTGTTGAGATCACGTTTGTTTTTCTCATCTAATCGTTAGCTGTCAAGAAGATTAGCTGATGGGTTCGCAGCAGTAGTACTTTAGATGTTCTATTGATGACCGCTTTATGCCTATGTGCATCTAGGAATGATAAATTAACACGGGAATATGAACACAGAAAGGGAAAACAGAATGACAACTCTAGCATCTGATCCATCCACCAACGCCCAACCAATCTGTAACTTGACAAACTGCGCTCAAGAAAGACTCAAAATGTCGAAGTACAGTTCAAGATCTACCAGTCAACCGCCCAGCCGTTCTTCTCCAGAAACTCCTCACACACCCCCTTTAATGCATAGTTGGGCCGGAGGTCATCCGCTGTCATGGGTACGCGCGTGATCGGGTCGACCTTGGACTGTTCCACGTACTTGGTAATCGCAACACGCTCGAAGCTGGTCCCGGACGGCGTGATCACCGGATCGTGCATGATCTCGAATGTGATCGGGTCGATGAGGTAATCGGGTACAACCTGTTGTAGGAGTGGGAGTCACACAAAAGTCAGCTTTCTAGACCCCAAAATGCCTCGGCTATGTCAGGAAACTCACCCGTTCCTGAACCTCCCCCTTCGACGCAATGGCAAACGTCTCCCGCAACCCCTGTAGCGTCTTCGCCGTATCCTCCCGGAGCGCTTTCTGGTCCTCCGAGAAGCCGATCTGGCCGATCTCCCCGCGGTCCAACTGTCCCTGAAGGTCCTCCAGCGCTCGCTGCAGGTCCGCCTCGATCAACCGTTCCACACTCGCCAGAGTGCCGTTCATCTCCCGCACGCGGGCCGCCTCCTTCGCTGCCCACAGCTGCTGCTTCGCGCGCAGGACCGTCTTGGACAGATTCTCCGACTGCACATTCTTGGCCGCCAGGCTCGCCTGGTATGCCTCCGTCGCGACTTCGTGCGCCTCCTGCGGCCGTTGCAGCTCCAACAGGGCCTGCGCCAGATAGTAGCGACTTTTCAGGCTGGCGGGGTTCTTCGCGCCGTACAAGTCGATCGCGGCGCGCGCGTCCTGCTCGACGCCGGCCCAGTTCTCGAGCTTCATGCGGGTGATCGCCCGGTTGGAGAAGAATGTAGGCTCTTTTGGGTTCTTTTGGACACTGCAGCGGGAGCCCCGGGGCAATTTAGTTGGCAAAATGTCTTTGCAGCATGGCAGGCGAGGAAGACTCTCGCAAGCAAGAAGGGGCAGGACTCCTAGATTTCTTCCCCGTGTCTTGAGGCTGGACTCACGCTTGGGAAAACATCTCCTCCGCGCCGGCATAGTCGCCCGCCTTGTAGAGCTGATTGCCCTTCTCTTTGAGTTCAAAGGCCATTGTTGGGGTGCTACCGTGCCCGCCGTACACCGGGTCTGAGGATTCTGGGTGCGAAAACAGAAGGAGATATCCGAGAGCGTCGGGGTTCGTCAGCAGAAAGGTGCTTGATGCGAGGCCTCAACAGCGTGTCTGTGAGAGTGTTTGGTCCCTTTTTTTGTGTTGGTGCCAGTGAATGAGTAATTGAGCGGAGCGATCGGTTTCTGGTGGGGCCCAGTCCAGTGATGATCCACTGCTCGGTGCGGAGCTAATGCGGTCCTGCGATACAGTAGAACGGCGGTAGAAGTTCTGAAAATGCTTTTACCTCATGTATGCAGCGCGATTGTGTTGGAAAGGTGGCCTAAAAGGGGGGTGTGCTTGGATGGTAAGACACGCGACCGGAGTAGGCTCAGTCAGTATGTCTCACGGTAAGAAAGCAAAGCACTTCGCCGCTGATTTGGGTAGGGGAGGCGCGGACTGGCGCTGTCCTCATTGGAAAAGGGAAGCCCGGAGCAGTCAGTAGGGTTGTGCGCCATTGTTGCTCAGGTAGACACGACCCTTGATGTATCTGTGACTTGCTCCTGTCCTTTTGTAAATCGAAGCTGATCGACCCCCGCAGAACGATAGCTGAGTCAGCACATTAGCCGCAGAACGAAAGTATGGGGTAACTAGTCGCAATGTATGGAGTTTGGAGAGAGAGCAAGTAAAAACGTTGCGCGGAAGGATGGGACAGAAGGTACAATGCTAGAATATGGTAACTACGGGCTGCTACGGTCTTGTTGAAGTCCCAATTTGTATTTCATTGAACCACAATTTTGCTAAGTCAGAGCTAGAGAGGATATGAGCAATTGGCCTGCCATTATAATCCCATTCATCAGGCGGTTATCATCAATTTCGTTTTGAGGTAGGTATTTATATAAGTGTTCAAGAGTGACTAGGCTCGGATCCAGTCCGCAACCAGGTCGCTTCGCTCGAAAATTATAATCGAAGACAGGCTAACGATCTTCGCATCCTCTGATGAGCAGAGGGAGTTTCGAGTGATTGACGAAAAATGTGATAGTAAATTCACACAGGGCTTGTTCCTGCTTCAGACCGTCTACTGAGCGGCAGCAGCTTGACTGAAGAATTGGGCTTCGTAGTCGGAGATAGCTTGGACCTTCTCGGCGGAGGCGCTCTTGGGGTCGAAGCGGTAGGTCAACCACTCGTTGGCGAGCTTCTTGGCAAGCTCAATACCAATGACGCGCTGGCCGAAGCAGAGCACCTGAGCATCGTTGCTAAGGATTGAGCGCTCGACGGAGAAGGAGTCGTGAGCCGTCACAGCACGAATCCCGGGTACTTTGTTGGCAGAGATAGCGACCCCGAGACCAGTGCCGCAGATGAACAGCCCGCGGTCTGCCTTGCCCTCCTTGATGAGTTTGGCGCCAGCAACAGCGGGATGAGGGTACGCTGTCTTGTCTGTAGTGGAGTTGACGCCTACGTCGAGGATAGAGTCGACCAGCGGGCTTTTCTCCAAGGCGGCCTTGAGAGTTTCCTTGTAGGGCTGACCAGCCTCATCGCAGGCCATGACGATGCGGAGGGGCTTGAGATCGGTAGACATGATGGGTATTAAGCGATTAACAGGTGAAATGTAACGTATAAGGGACCCTCGCGAAAGAGACGGACAGGAAGGGCGGATATGTCTGATAAAGGACAAGAGTGGATGATGGAACAATGATGAAAAAATGTCGTCTGGGACTGGGATCGAATCAGCCTTTATATCCTCCTCCACCGAGTCCTTCCTCGAGCTCTCTTTCTGTTGGGACCCGAACAGAATGTAGGCTGAGCCTGGGTGCGTGCGTGCGTGCCTCTTGAGACCCAAACTTTGGTATTTGATGAGGGGAGAGGACACTGCTCACTGCTCCAATCAGCGCCTTCGACAGCATCGGGTGCATTCAGCACATTGCAGTAAGACTGCAGTACGTGCAGTACGTGCAGTACGAACAATATCTGACGCGCGCACCTCCAGAGGTCGCTTGTCTCCACACCAGCGATCGTTCCAAAGAAGCCTGTTTCGATGGAATGCAGGTTGATTGAATGGTTGGGTCTGGCAGGTCCACCATGGCGTCATGAACTTATCCGCCGGGGAAAGGGAGACTCCCGATATCTGTTCCGATTAATGTACCTTAAATTATTACCTACTCATCCAGTGATACATGGATCCATCATGGATACCTACCAAGATAATCGTCCAAATTCGGAAACCCGGCGTTGCATCCACCATGATGGAACCAATGATCCACAACCTGAATGGATCCCTTCATCCTCCAGTCGTCCGCCAGGCTAGTTTATCAACAATTATCCTCGGCTCTAGACGCGACTCCTAGCCAGGCACCAAATTTTGAAATCAATGTGTTTGATGTTGGGATCGCAATGCTCTTCTTGCTTTGAAGTGTATACGTTGTTACCGATCCTTTCCAGTGCAGAGCAAACTAACCATCCTCGGATAGCGTCTGTACCGGTTTGACTTACTTCTCGACACCGCCTCTGAAGTACACGACTACGCCCACCTTGCATTCCTAAGTCGTTGTTTGGCACCTGTCTCTGCCTCATGCTGGGTGGCTTGCAGAAGACCCGAGGAAACCCTTATATTCTCTCTTTGCAGATGGTTGGTACCAGCTAAGGTATGCAGATCGACGTATCAAGTGTATCTCCATTGATGCGCAAACCAGCTCCTCGCAGTGCTGACGATTGATCGACTCTCTTCAATCCAACATTTCCGGCTCTGTTAGGATTACCCGAGTAATCCTTATGACATGGGAGGCTCAAACCCGGTGCCTGGTTACGCCGCAGTGGCTGCCGTGGTTAGATTGAGAATTGTTAACCTAGAAGAGTATGAACTGCAGACCGGAAATCTATAAAAATACTGTAGGCGAGGCTTTTACTCGCCCTATCAGCAGGCACAATCTCCTATCCTTGCGAAGACAGGCCAGGGTAAAGTCGGAACCAGCAGGAGACATGATTTAGTTGTCGTTCTGGTCCATTAATGAAGCCGACGGGACCAAAACTTGAGGAGCTTCCAGACAATGACGCCCAATGGGGTGGGCGGAACACCACAACATATTGGAGGAATGTTGCAGGTTGCATATGATATGTTTGCGCCGATGCAGTGATGTGTCTTCCAAGCCGAAAATTTCGACTCTATCCGGTACGGTACGATGTCCTGTACATAGGGACTACCGTATGAAGTAGATACGGTACCTCTAACTTATTCATGGATCCAGGCGCGGCGCACATCGGAGTGGGTTTTGGAGTGGATTGCACGCTCGATTCTCCACCCGCCGCCCCACGGCGGATCGACTGAGCTGCCAAAGTGCCTAGACTACTTTTACTCTGTAGTCATCTTATACATTGATTGTTGTTGAGTGCAGCTGCTCTTTAGTCGACTGCCTCTGAATTATGAGTATGTTGCCTGCGATTCCGGATCTTGCGACTCTCCGTATCTTACCGTACTCAAGAGAGTCATCCGTACCTCTCCGTCTTCCATCTTCCCCAAGCAAGCCATGCTGCAAGCCACCATCTTGGAGAGGGCAAGACCGGGGTCGATCAACCCCTCCTCCTGCCGTGCCACAATATCGCACCCATCTTTATTCTCAGCACGAGATTACAGAAGAATACGGAGTAGAGAAGTCCCATATGGTAGAGTAGAGTAGAGTTTCCATCCCTCCTTGAGATGTCCCGGTACTGTGCGTTGACATCATCTCGTGTTCCAAGCACCAGCCAGGTATGGTATGCGATGTCAGTTGCGTTCTTTTCCCCTCCGGTTGAAGTTGGCTCTGCCCTGCTCTTTCGGTCACAGCAAACATGCCAGAAACCGGCACAGATTCATAATCTCAATTTTGATTGCTTCTCTGAAACTAGAGATGCAACACGGAAGTAGCACATGCACCAGGCCTGGGACGGAGTAGTCTATGAACTACTAACTAGTAGTTAAAGGGCACTACGGTGCCCCTCGGCCAGCGGCCAGCCCCTCCTTTCCCAGCAGCATTTTACCCCACCCCGTCATCCGATCCTATCGCTTTGATAACCAATACTGACATTCCTGTTCGATTCAAGTGTGACAGCAAAACTCCCGATTTGGGACTAGTAGACCGCTTCCTCAGGTTCCTCCAAGTGGTTTTGAAGGATCCATGACTTGCCAAACTATCCCCGAGCCAACAGCTTGAACCTCGACTGAACATCCACCACCACCACAACTATTGTTCCCACCACCACCACTACCACCACCACCACAACTATTGTTCCCATCACCACCACTACCACCACCACCACCACTACCATCAACCACCATAACCACCCACCATGGCATTAACATACCCCACCCTCCCCCCAACCCTCCTCATCATCTCCCTAAAGATGTACTTCACTCCCGCCCAGACTCAAGAATACTGCCGCGCCCTCCTCGACCCGCAGAACAACATCGTCCGACCCTCGCACCACCACTCCAAGCTCCTCCTAGCCCTCATCCCCGACTTCCTGACCATCTACCCCTGCGCCGAGATCATCAAGCAATGGGAAGCAGCGACAGCGTCACCCCAACAACGACAAGACCGGACATTCCTCCTCGGCGCCCAAGACTGCTTCTGGGAGACTCGAGGCCCCTACACGGGCGAGGTGTCGCCGTCCGCGCTGCGGGCGCTGGGCGTCTCGATTGTGGAACTCGGCCACGCGGAGCGCCGCGATCTCTTCGGCGAGACGGACGAGCAGACCGGCCGCAAGGCGGCCGCCGTGTGCGCCAACGGCATGGTCCCCTTGGTCTGCATCGGCGAGTTCACCGCCCCGGGCCCCGTGGCCTCGCAGGCTGTCGGGCGCGCGGTGCAAGAGTGTGCGGGCCAGGTGCGCGCGGTGCTGGCCGCCATCCCCGCGGACGCGCCGGTCATCTTCGCCTACGAGCCGGTCTGGGCGATTGGGCAGCCCGCGCCCGCGGGCGTGGAGCATATTGCGGCGGTGGTGGAGGGGATTAAGGCTGTGGTCATGGGGACTTGTGCTGGTGGTGCTAGTGGTGGTGGTACCGCCGGCAGCCGCGCGGGGGAGGTCCGCATTCTCTATGGTGGGAGTGCCGGCCCTGGGCTGTGGGGCGCGGGCGGGCTGGGCAAGGCCGTCGATGGTATGTTCCTGGGGAGGTTCGCCCACGAGATCGATGGGGTTCGCAATGTGGTTCGTGAGGTCGAGGAGACGATAGGTTTGACGGCGTGAGTAAAGTCAAAGTCGGAAAGATTTTTGTTCCTGTGTATTGAACCGTTTCAAGTCGGTACGCGATTATTCCATTGAGCAATGGCAGTGCGAGGCAGGATCCAATCAATACCTGACCTGACATGATACGAGTTGAAATCTCCAAGGATATTCATTTCGAAGCTGGCTATTCTCTAAAAGGCAATGCCGAAACAATGCAGTGGCATGCTGCCTATCCGCCGGGGGGGGGGGACAATGATTTGCCAAGTCTCCAACTTCTCTTCTCGTGCTCGGGATGGTTGTTCTTGGTGCTTCCGGGGATCTGGACTCCCGTCGAACTTGCGCGGAGTTGGTCCCGTGCGGGGAAAGAAAAAAAACACGTGGGGGCACCTGACCTTTCCCCAACTGCTTATTACGGAAATGGTGCATTATTAGTGGCTCGGTCTTTCATGCTTCATGCTTCATGCCTCATCTCCTCCCCCGCCTAGGAGGCTCGGTGGGACTATTGATGGTCTAACAGTTAACTTACTTTTAATCTATTTACAGCGACAGCGGGACCGGACCCGGAATCTCCTTCTATGGACGAGTAACCCCCACCCTCAAAAAAACACTCCGACCCCTCTTTTTAAACACTTCTCAACAAATCTATTGCTGCTTCTTGCCCTCGCGCATCTCCTGCTTCACGCGCGTGACCGTTCCCATGCCCCCATAAGTGATAGCCGTGTACATCATTGCAACCGAGGCTCCAGCGTCCAGAACTGCTTGCGCCTGCTGGCCGTTGGTGACACCGCCGGAAGCGAAAATGACCTTCCGGGCCAGGCTGTCCGAGGGTTTCGGAGGCTCCACCGAGGGAGTGTTCTCTGTGTCCGGCTCGACCTGGGCTGCGGTCGTGGTGGCCTCCGCGGCGGCTCCCGTCAGCTCCGGAGTGTTGGGAGTGGCATCGAGCATCGCTCGGTAACGAGCGACAAGCGAGACGGTACGGTCGAACAGCTGGGGTCCAGAGTAACCTCCCGTTTCCTTTAAGGTCTCCTGCTCCGCAGCCGGTACGGTAAATCCCTTGGGGAGAGCATCAGGACGACGGTTCGTGGTGTTACCGACGATCACACCATCCACACCGGAACTCCACACAGCCTGGCAGATGCCAGAGACCTGCTCGTCTGCATCCTCGTCGGGGCTAACTTTCACCATGACATAGGGCTTGGTGGTGCGATCAATGCTCTTGGCAGCTCCGACAACGGCCTTCAGGATGGCCGTCAGGGGAGCAGTCGCCTGGAGGTCACGCAGACCGGGGGTGTTGGGACTGGAGACGTTCACAACCAGGATGTCAGCGTACTTAGCCACGCGGTCCACGCAATACACGTAGTCACGCTTGATGGCCTCGATGTCGTTGTCAGGGGTGACCTTGTTCTTAGCCACCTGCACAGCAAGAAGCTTGCCGGGCCGCAGACTACCTGGAGGCACGCCGGCCTCACCGTTGAGCACGCGCTTCTCAGCCAGTTCATGCTCCCCAAATCCATTAGCGTAGGCGAAATCCTGGACGCGCTGCTCAAGCACGGCAGCCATGTGGTCGGCACCCTTGGAGTTGAGGCCGTAGCGGTTGATCATGGCATTCTGGGAAACGACACGGAACACGCGAGGACGGGGATTCCCATCCTGCGGCAGAGGGGTCGTTCCACCGACCTCGACAATTGCAGGCCCGATTTCAAACAGCGGATCCGGGATGTCAGCGTGCTTGTCCAGTCCGCCAGAGATACCAATAGGGTTGGAAAGAGTGTATCCGAAGACCTAACGACGGCGGAACAAAATCAGCAAGATGTCATGGATAGACCCTCTTCCTCACCAAAGGAGCCAGGCCTTACCTCCGTCACCAATGACCCATCTCCGTCCGGATTGCCCCGTTCTCTGGGATTAAGACCGTACTTGTAGAGCGTCTTCAAGATATCCACGCCGAAGTGATGCGCATCCTCCGCATCGGGAAACAACGTCCTAACCAACGGAACCACACCGTACCGATGCACACTGGCCCTAGTATCCGTGGCATACACGTACCCGACGAGCGCACCCAACGCCAGCGTCGTTCCGATGACCGTCCTCTTGAGCCCCCGACCGGCCTTCTTGGGTGCCTCCTTCGCCACCGTCTCCGCAGTCTCGGCAGCCTTGGCCGCGTTCTCCTTCACAGTCGCTTCGGCGGCCTCGGCCGCAGCCTCCGTGGCCTTCTCGCCCGACGAGGCAAATCGCACCTGAACCATGAGTTGCGCGGGGACCGGCGTCGAGCGGCGATAGAGCATCGAGGAGGGAACGGGGGACGCGGCGCATTGGAGGCGCACAGAGCGTGGGAGTGCGCGGGCTCGCGAGGCCCTCCAGACTGCGTTGGCGGTCATTTTGCGTTGGTTCCGAAGGAGCGGCGTCAGGGAAGGATGATTGTTTTAATTCTTGTCAAATGTTGCGTTCTTCGCCGGGAAAAAGTCGGTTTCAGGGAGGTTGAGAAAGGTTGATGACCTATCTGAATGGTAGTGGGTAGGGTGTTAGTTAGATGGTTATAAGTGACGTGCTCAATGCTGGTAAGTAAGAGTTTTCTATGCTATACAGAAGAGGCATTAAAAGAGAATTGCAGGTAAAGGAGGGATAGGAGGTCCAAGAAGTCGACGACTTTGAGATGTGTATGGTAGATGGAGAAACTTCCAGCGAGGATGGGACAGGTATAACAAGTATGGGAATGTAATAAACCAAGTGATTCGACTTTTGCAATTGTGACGGAGTGCCTCTACCGCAGCGTATACGGGCGTCTGGTATTTCACGAGTTGCAGAGAGCCCCGGCCACTGCATATGGCCTTCACTGAAGGTTCCGGTTCTTTCTGCCATTCTCCGCGAAAACGGAGTGGAACCGCGCGGGTTGGAAATGGCTGCATGAGGAAGGGAAGAACAACAAAATTCGACTTACCACACCCGCCTAATGCTTGAGTTGCGTGCAATTGAGAGCGCAATCTTAATGGGAAAGTGAAGCGAGCCGAGATTGAGCAGCAATCGTAGGCTTGAGTAGTAGAGAAAAGAGCCCCGATTCGGGAGGGAGGGGATACAGCCGGCTTTGCGACAGCCGAAGCCAAGCCGACAACGAACGGTTTACGAGGCGGTGGGGTGAATTCAAGCAGCAGAATTATGCGGGCCTGGATGCGGAGGGACAGGCGACAAGGCGGTGTGTAGTATTATTACGAGGATTGATAGTAATCGACAATAGATTAGCGATCAGCACGTCAGATTTCCATGTTCAATTGACTAGAAGTAGATATTTACGGTATAATACAAGGTGTGCTTGTCCAATCCGCCAGCATCGTCCAACTTGGAAACACAAATAGATACTAAATTTCTAGCGTTGAGGAATGCAGGTGAGTGCAAATTTGAGCACAAGATAAGGAACCCAATCGAGCTGAAGTGAACTTTCGCTATGTTAGAACTCCAAGATCACGCATACCGCCTTGGAACGCCTGTCTTTTTGCTGCCATGACTTCGTGGCTGTCTCAGCCGTCCAGAGTGCATGCATCTGCTTGGTACATGTTGGGAACATCTGAAGTAGCGGACGACAGCAATGTTTGGTGAAGAAGCTGAAGAAAAGACTTGTATTATACGAATGAGAGAGTATGTAAACAAATGCAATGCACACCCAGTAGTAAAAGGAGCAGGGCATGATAGGCATGGATACCACTGCCCCACGTGAATAGGAATGGCGGTGGAGAAAGAGCGATGCGCTGCCTAGTTTACTCGTCGCTCATATCGTCGTCATCTGCATCGTGAAAAGTTGGCTCCCGCTCAACGCTTGCGTCGCGGTGAGCAGATGCATCGAACTCGTCCTCATCCTTGGTGGCTTCCGGCTCGGGTTCTTCCGGGGCGGGAGGCATACTTTTCGAGTACTTCGGGTCAATGGCAAGTCTGTGTTGAGCCCGCTTATATGCCTCCGCCTCATCTGGATCGCGGATGACAACTTGCATCTGATCAACTTGGTCTTCTTTCGTCTTGGGCCGCGTAGGAGCGAGACCCGCCTGCGCAATGGTACGGGCTCTCTCGGGCTTCAAGCGAGTCTTTCCAAGAATGGGATAGTAGTAGGCGGCCATCTGTCTCGCAGACAAGCTATCGCGCTGGCCTCCTCGCACCTCAGAAGGATCAAAAAGCGTGACGGCTATGTCTCGCTGCTTCTGGTTATCACCGAGGGTTTGAGCGCTGGTAGCATATGTACGAGCACGATCGTAACGGTGAAATTTGGTACCGTCAGGCCCGTCATGAGTGTACAGCTCTTCACTATTACGGTCCGGGTTGGTCAACTGCAGACTTGCAGAAACGCTCTTGGCCATCTCTTTCTTCTCGGGTAAGAACAGATCGTAGTCCCAGGGAATGGGACCAGGGTCAGGATACAAATCAGGATTTGACTTGTGCAGGGCGGCCTTGGTCGCGTGCTCCTCGCATATGCGCTCTTCTGGGGCAGACGGATGTAGAATTGCCACATCCATGCGCTTGTCTCTCTTGTTTGATATTTCCTGGATGGGTGTTTTATCGAACTTGAATTGAACGAAGCCTCCTGGATCAGGGAATCCTTGTAGATCAGGAAGGAGAGGGAAGAACCCGACCGGCTTCAATTTAGGATTGTCAGGATGCACTGGATGAGCCCATGCATCGAGTTCGAGCTTCGTCACAGTGTGACCCTTGATGCTGCTCGCCGTATCTTCGCCAACATGCTTGTTATTGGGGTACGCGATGTCGAACCCTTTCTGGATGTACTTCTTGATATAGATAGGGTCATCCTGTGACCGGCCTTTGTCGAGGGAACGCGACTTTGTTCTAACTGTCGTGACCTTGGGGCTGTCCGGCGCACGAAGCCCGGCAGAAATGTATTGTGTGCGACGGAGGAAACTGACGTTGGTGTTTTTCGGTGCAGGGTTCTTCAGCTGTTCCGGTGTCATGAGAAGTGCGAGATCGGCGGGGTCAAGCGGTTCGGGGTTCTCGGGAGCCATGATCGCTACACGTTGACTGCTGTCAGCGATTGCTCCAACGACCTTATGCGCACAGGATTGACAAACGCACCACTCTCATCGCCCAGATGCAGGCCGGGAATACCGACCAAGTCGAGGGGCATACCACCCTCGGCGTCAACATCGATGTTAGGCTCCTCGCGACGAGCCAAATTGGCCGTGAAACCCGGGGTCAAAAATCGTTGGAGGCCCTCATGAGGTATCTCCATGAACTTCGGAGGCATGTCCGGCGGAGGTAGGTCATTGCGATAGCGAAGAGATGCGATGTACTCTTGGTGAAAGCCCCCCGAGGAGCTGCTGTCCTTGGATTTTGACATTGTATCTTGTGAGCGTTGGAAATATCTGCTATCGGCTATTATAGGTTGTTGCTAAGCTTGGATAGAGATACTTGATCTCTTGAGTCGGGCGTGTCAGTTCACAGGCGCTCTCATCATTGATGGTCGCATGTTTGACTTACCTAGGTGGCCGGGGTTTTAAGCCCTCCAAGAATTTTCAAGCTTGAGAACCGGTTTCGGGGTTCCGGTCACGTCCTTATAGCTGAAGCCAAATTCGAACGGGTATGCATCTAAGGTATAATATTAAAGGATGTTTTGAGGACATGCGTGCACTACAGGCTAGGACTAGAGGATCCAGGACAAACTCACCTGTCTGAGTTGGAGACGTTCTGCACTCTGTGACCGCCTACTACTCGTGAGATGCAAACGTCTCGGAAAGTGGTTTCTCCGCAAGCGAATGGTCAATGTATATTAGTCTACTACACAAGTTCGATTGCGGGAGATTGAAGAGTGAAAATAGCATGATAATGAGACAGAGAAACTCTTCCTGAAAACATTGAACAACTCGAAATAATACATATCAACCAAGGATATAATAGAGCGACTATAACCTGTATCATATGTAATCCGATACCCACCAACACCGACCATTATTCAATGAAGCAAAATGCCAAAAGGCCACCAAGGCATCATGCGAAAATCAGTAAGACCACATGCACTTGTACGCCATCAACCTATGTCCCAAGCGATCATATTCCAGCTGCCCTATCCAGCTATCGTTGGTTCCACTCAGTTTTCCAAAGACGCTTGCGCCTTTCCAGACAACGACCTGCGGGTCGAGATCCCGAGGAGGAGTGCCGATCATGATCTCCTTGGCAAATCCTGGTCGAAGGTTCTGGAGACGCTCTTCAAGATATGAGTGAAAGCCATTGATCAAGCTTCCGCCTCCCACGACCATAATACCGCCAAGGAAATCTCGCATCTTACGTTCGTCGGAACGAGCCGCATGCGCAATAGAAGTTAAAATTGCACTGTCCAGCGGAAAGTTTGGTAGGATGTCATCGCGTTCCTCAACAGTGGGCGGACGGTTAGGCAATGCGCTCTGGCCCTGGCCAGCAGGCACAGGCGTAGCCCCGCCGGGAAGTGGTGTACCCAGCGTCTCCGGTGCCGGCGATCCGGCAACAGACGATCGGGGTGTGGCCTCCAGCTCCTGTACACGGCTGAGAGCATTGATCTGTTGGGATCGACTCGGTGTAGCCTGCACCTCCAATGTATTCGATTGGGCATCGCCATTTACCTGGCCATGGTTGATAGGAGGGGCAAGAGCAGTTAGAATTTCGGACTGAGCCGCCGATGTAGGGTCGTTGGGCTGTCCATCGTAAATATCAACTGAGCGAGCAATGAGTTTTCTCCTGCCCTTGAGCTTCTCCTCGTGGTTGAATATGGATGGCTGGAAGTAGCCCATGGGCGCCAGGTGAATCTCATCGTAGGCTTTGAATGTGTATTTCCGGGTGTCTTGGCCGGCGACTCGAAGGTGGAAATCGTAGACCTGCACGGATACACTTGCCTCGTTCATCGTACAAACATTCTTCTTCAGCTCTTCGGCCAACAAGAAGTCATATCTGTGCCAAAGGTTGATCTCGGCATAGGGGAAGTGGTCGTAAAGCATCATCTTGACAAATGTCTCGGTCACATCGAGACCACCGTACTTCAGGTTCACTCGCGAGTTTTCGATGCACATGCCCTCTTCCACGCAGCAGATTGATGTTTTCTGGGCACCAATGTCAACCACACAGGCAGATGTGAACCCTGCACCAAACGTGGCCGCCAAGCTCTCTTGAATGAAGCAGCTGCGAGCAAAGGCGAATTCTCGCATGAGTATTTCCAGAACTTGGGTGACGTATGACTTCTCGTATAAGTCTGGGATGACGAAGACACATGAGTACTGAAGCCAGTCCTTCTTGCTCGTGAGTCCTAGTTGCGATTTGATCGCGTCCTCGAGGATGAGCGAAATGTCCAAAAATAAGAGTCTCTTGTTGTCGTAGTCTGTCTCGTTGCACCAGCCATGCTTTATTGGCCAGTAGAGTTTATACCGGGGCTTGGATGCATCGGGTATCCTTAAAGCTGCTTGTCCCACAATGTACTCAGGTGCAGGATCTGAGAGCTCGGTCCATTCAACCCGCATAGGATCATTGTGCTCTGAAATGGTTTCCGGTACTGTCCTCCGATTGTAGTTGATGACCATTTCTTTTGAGTTTGGCAATGTCCGACGCTTGTTTTGTCGCATATGGGCTTTCAGTTCTGCCGACATTGTCGTGTACTGGGAAGCGAACTATTACCAGAGCGCGATAATCAGCAACGTAATCTGCCGTGAGAAGAAAGCTGGAGACAAACCTCAGGACCGAACATCTTTTCGGGTTCCAAGTCCGATCCATCGTCCATCTTTAGCCGCTTTGGACATGGCTCTTCGTGATCTTCGGCTTCGTTGGATGGCGATTTTCGCGCAATCACCATGGGTATGGTCTTTGGCAAAGCGTCGCTAGCTAGTCCGATACGTAGGTTCTGGCTTCCGACGTGGACCACGATCACCTTGGAGCCCGCCGTCTCGGCAGTCGTCTCGTCGGCGTCCTCCATATTGGTATCACCGTCGCCTTCTGCCTCTGCTTCTGGTAGTCCTAGGTCATTCGCCTTGGCCATAGCCAGCGCACGGTCCCGGTCTTTAGCTGTCTTCGCCATTCGATTCCGCGCCTCCTCGTTCTGCAGTCGAAATGCAAGGTACTGATCATCGCGCTTGAGATAATCACTGTGTAGATGATAATAGGCAGTCAGGTAAAGAAAGGCAATCTGAACTGATAGCGGTGGAGGCAATAGCGTACGTATAGTAGTTTTTCTGGTTGATTGGTGGTATTTGCGGCCAGCTTGACAGCTCCATATTGTTGTCGGTTCTCTCGAGACCTGTTCTCAATCAATCAGACGATGGCAGTTGAGTCGGATAGCACTGGAGATCATACCCTCATCCCGAAGGAGAGCCTTGCCCGATTTCTTCCCAACCATATTGAAAGGCTGATTGTGCAATCGGCGATGCGATGTAGGTTAAAAGACGGGAAATTCGTCTTGAGATGGTGGGATTGAAATTATCGTGGTTATGAGAGACCCATTCGTCTGTTTTCAACTTCCCACTCTATTGGAGGGAAATCAAGTTGCGACACTAAAAGAGTTGGCAGGGAAGGCAGGGAAGGGAGGTTGTGAGGGGATTGAGCGATGAACGAACGACCGACCCAGCGATAAACTGGTAAGGGAATCCGGAGAACGAACGATACTAACCTACCTACACAGTAGTTACAGTACACACACTCTCCATTGAGTGAGCTCGGGCCAGCCCGATCGGCAGGAGACCGCAAGCCAATGACGGTCACCACCATTTAGTCAGCTCTTGGTCCTCGCTCATTGAGCTGTTGCGGTAGGTTTTGGCCATATCTGTTATTTCTTCAAAGACATATTCGTCCACTTCTTCCGAATTGGTCCTTGCACACCATACTTACTTCTTGGTCGGTGCAGTTGTTTGGACAACTTGATCGTTGGGTTTGTGTCCGCCCGCATCTCCGCCACCGCTCCAACGCCCTGATCCCGCCGCAAAGACAATAGACAGACAGACAGACAAGACAACTTCCGTCTCACGCCTTCCACTTCCCTCCCCCCCCTTCGGAGCCCACGATCAGCTTATTCAAATTTCGCCGCGATGGGAGGTTCGCTTTCACGTCTCTGGTCCTTCGTTTGGGCAAAGAAAGAAATCCGCATCTTGATCCTTGGACTCGTATGTTCTTTCGACGTCACGCTACCGTTTGTAGCTATCACCCCCTCCCGCGGCTAATGGTTTCGCTTATTTAGGACAATGCTGGAAAAACAACTCTTCTTTACCGACTGAAGGTGCGCCCTGGAATGATCATGAGATACATGTCGCGGAATCTTACGGAAGTCTTCTAGATTGGTGAAGTGGTCACGACGATACCCACGATCGGATTTAACGTCGAATCGGTGACGTACGGAAATTTGAACTTCAATGTTTGGGTGAGTACAACAACTTTTGGCGACTGCGATTTTCCTTGTTCCCAAAAGACTATTGCGATGAGGGTTCCTCTCGGCTGACTTCCTTGCCTCTTACAGGACCTCGGAGGTCAAACATCCATCCGTCCATACTGGCGATGCTACTATGCCAACACCGCTGCGGTCATATTCGTCATCGACTCAACAGATATTGAACGACTCGGCACGGCTGCGGATGAGCTGGCGGCGATGCTCAACGAGGAGGAGCTTCGCGATGCGGCCCTGCTGGTGTTTGCCAATAAGCAGGACCAGCCGGGTGCCAAGGGCGCCGGTGAGATCTCTGAGGCTCTGAAGTTGGGCGAACTGCGGGACAGAAATTGGAGCATTGTCGCATGCTCTGCTATTGATGGCAAAGGTCTGAATGAGGGCATGGACTGGCTGGTTGTAAGTGACGTTGCTGGTAATTATCTTTGTTCGGACTTACTAACCGTCCTCGCCTCCTAGCAAACACTTCAGTCGGAGAACGCATAAACCATGCTGCGATACCAGTCATGCCATAGATTTGCTTTTGATACACCTTCGAAACTCGGATGGAAAACCACAAAGAAACGTGGACGCGCCAGCTTTGTTTAGGAGCTTCTTTCGTCGCCTGTGCGCCTTTTTTAACATTGTTCCCTTTCGAGGCAGGGCTGTCGTTTATACATTATACCTTTTTGATTCTGAAATGTGTTATACCTTGCATAATACCTTAATTCATTCTACCATGATCCCCGTTGGCTTGGCTGTAAGGAAATAGTGCTACTGAGTGAGATGTTTGAGCTAGAGCAGTCGAACTTAGGACCAGCCAATGTTCGGCTGTCTACTTGCTGCACGGTTATATACTGACTCTATCAATATGTTTTGCGGTTCCATTGTTTAAAGTGGCTCTTCGTCGAAATTGCATATCCAAGTCTTTGAGAAAACAAGCCAGATCACTATCCCCATTTATACCTCTTCAAGGCTTAGGCCCAGTGCCCTTGAACTTGTAGGCACAGCCCAGCTTTTTAGAGCAGTCCATATAATTTTTCATACCGATCCCTCCTCGGCACACCTCCACACGGTGGGAACCTACCAAGATATCTTCTTATCTTAGCTCCTATCAGTGACGCTGATTATCACAGCGATACATAGATAACCAACCTACAATGCAATCTTAATCAGATTAGCCGACCAAGTCTGAGAATCAAGACTGGAAAATCTGTGAATAGCGCATAGGGCCTCTGTTATAAACCATATATTCCATTGTCCGATAAGCTCCTCTCTTCCCCGCACTAGCCATCGAAACCCCGAATCTATATATTCGAGATACCCCGCAATGACCCATCTATAATTTATTCACAAATTGACATCTCCCTTGCAGTCTACCACTAGCTCCTCATACTTTTGAGAAGAGATATCATACAAGATAAACCGCCACGGATCCGATACGATGAGCATCCCATCAAGCCAAACCGCAGCCCTCATCCCCGCAACCGGGGCATCCCCTACCGCGCGCCTTCAAATCCGACACGATCACCCCGTGCCATCCCCGACGGAGGGACAGATTCTTGTTAAGCTGGAATACTCCGGGGTATGTCACTCGGATGTACACAGTGTGCGCGGGGAGACGCCCATGTTAACCGACGTGGCGGGCCATGAAGGCGTGGGGAAGGTGGTCAAAGGTAGGTATTTGACTTCCTTTCCAATGGCATCAGTGCTTCTGGTCAATCTAGTCAGCCCGCTGACTGGCATCTGGCATAGTGGGCAGTGGGCTTGACGAGCAAGTCTGGCTAGGAAAGAGAGTCGGGATACGGTTCGCACATTGGCTCTTCCTTCAGTATGTCTACAATTTGGACGAGATCTAACGACGATTGAACGGTGTCTACAGCTGGCTGTACAGCACCTGCTTGGAGTGCGAGATATGCGTCATCAACAACACGGCGTGTCCATACCAAAAGAACGCCGGAGCAGTAGGTTGAGTTATCCACTATGGTGTCTAATTGGAGATGATGTGTCTAGAGCTGATCTCAACGACCAAGAATACTCCGGGAACTTTTCAGCGTGAGTGACCGACGAACTCCGATTCAATCCAAACGCGCGCGGTGTAGCTGACCGGAGCGATGTGCGAGGTCAGAATACATTGTCAGCCCTGCAAATCATGTCACCATCATCCCTCCGAACCTGGAGCCAGACGTCGCTGCTCCCCTGTTGTGCGGTATGTCTGTCTCTCTTGCCTCTGTCCTTCTGTGGTATGTGTCATCGACGATTCTCTTATGGCCTATTAGCTGGAATTGCCATGTACTCTTCGATAATGAAGACGAAGACTCGACCGGGAGACTGGATCGTGATCCCCGGCGCAGGCGGCGGATTGGGCCACATGTAAGCTCTATCACCGTGCTACACCCGGAGCACAGGTACCGTTGGCTGAACCGTTGCCACAATAGGGGTATTCAAATCGCCGTCAAAAAGGGGCTCAAAGTTATCGCGATCGATAGGTAAAATGCTTCTGCCCCAGGCCATGCACAAGCCCTTCGTTGCCCAAAGAACATGACTGCCCTAACGAAGCCCGCTGACACGAAACCCCCCCTTCATCCAGCGGCGAAAAGAAGAGACAGCTCTGCCTCGCCCTCGGAGCCACCAGTTTCCTCGACTATAAGACCGACGACATCGAGCACCGCGTCAAAGCCTTGACGTCAGGCCTAGGCGCGCACGCCGTGATCTGCACCGCCAACAGCGAGCAGGCCTACATTCAAAGTATGAGCCTGCTTCGGAGGCTGGGGGTATTGGTGTGTGTGGGTATCCCGAACGCACCGTTTCGACTCCCAGCGACCCCATTTGACATGATTGTTAAAGGTAAGGGAGGGCGATGTTTCCGGGAGTTCCTGTGGAGAGAAAAAAGCCTACGCAGCGGCTGATCTCTGAAATTGCGGCTAGGGCTCACGATTATCGGCAACTCGGCTGGCACTGCGAAAGAAATGGATGAATTGATGGAGCTGGCTGTAGCGGGAGATGTGAAGGCGCATATTGAGACATATGAATTGGATGACATTGATGACGTCCTGGATCGGTTGGGACGCTCGGAGATCGATGGAAGAGCTGTTGTGCGGATTCCTTGAGAGAATGTCGGGCGCGCTTCCGGTAAGAATCGAGGTCTTTCATGAGACCTCTAGTCTGTTATACTTATTAGGGAATTTGGGCATGGGAACGGCTGCTGAGGGCAATTGTCTTGGCCGCTTGGTGGTGGTGATGGTGGTGGTCTTGTTGTCGCCTGGGTGGCTGAGCAGGAATGAACTGACTTGGTTCGAAGGTAAATAGCTTCGAGCCATGTTGACATATTACTCATGAACGTCGGCATGATTCTCCTAAGCTAGATTATTGCGAGATGCGCGTGGTCTTCAAGGTTTCTAGTAGCGCAATCCTTGAAACTGAGGTACAAAGATAGCAAGTGCCATGTTAGCTCGGGCTCTTGGAGTGGCTTATGTTGGTCCATGAGAGGCTTGCTGAACGGTGTAGAAACCTCGAATGAAACACCTTAGCTGACAGCAAAATGGGTCTAATCAGATATATTGTAGCTAGTAGGGATTTGGACCGTCGACGCATGAGAGATATTATCACAGTGGCTCTTATTGCCTCACAGGAAACCGTCACCGAACTGATATAAAGAGAAGACACTGACCGCACCATACTCGACCTAAATGTGGCTTCATAGTCTCGAGCGTCGCCCTTTTGCAACTTTACGTGCATACGGGTGGGAGGCAGAATTGGGGACGAGATGGTCGATGTCTGCTGTGTTGACGAGATGTGGGCCTGCTTCATCCAGGCTAGTAATTCCAACGTTGCGCATTGCTGTCTCGAGCTCATCCTTCATGACTGCAGATAATGAGATTGGCATCCGGGCCACATATTCAGTAAAGCAGCAACCGAGACTTACTATCAATCAAATGCTCAACGCCGTCCTGGCCATAATTAGCGGCGAAGAGCATGCTCCGCCCCATGCCCACGGCAATTGCTCCCAGACAGATCGCCTTGAGAATATCCGTTCCGCGACGAATGCCACTGTCAACGTAGATTTCCATCTTGTCGAAGATCTCCGGACACCGCTTGTGGAGTTCGAGTAGAGTAATGATGGACGGTGGGCTGGTGTCCAAGTTCCGGCCTCCGTGATTGCTCAGAAGAATCCCATCAAGGCCGGCCTCCATGGCCAGAATAGCATCATCGGCAGACATGACGCCTTTCAGACACACGGGCAGGTGAGTGTGCTGCCGCACCCATGCCAAGTCCTCCCACGTCAGACCTGGATCAATGAAACCGGCCATGACACGACCGAGACCGCCGCCCTTCTTGTCATTCTTCGCTTTCGAAGGTGCCATGGGAACGGTTAGATCCTCGTCCGCCTTGACACGCTCATCCGCCTCCCTTTTACCGGGCCAGGCAGCGTCGACGGTCACAAAGATGCCCTTGACGTTCGGATTGGCGGAGCATTGATGGAGAAGCGAAGCTGACTTCTCCCGGTCGCGGTTAACGTATAGTTGGAAGAAAAGGGGCGCTGATGGCGCAGCCTCTTGAATCTCCTCGAGAGTATACGATGAGTTGTTAGACACCTACAGCCAATCTCGTTAGAAGCCAGCCACGAAATGGTAAGGATGGGAGTGACTTACTCCCTGAAAGACCTTTTTGCTCTCGCAGGCCCTCGCAATGGCAAGCTCTCCGTCTGGGTGAATGAGCTTGGCCATGGCCGCCGGACTAACAAATAGTGGGAGGCTCGTCTCAAGTCCAAGGAACTTGGTTCTCGTGTTGACAGACCGCACATTCCTCAGTACTCGTGGCCGAAGCCAGATGCGGTCAAAGCACGATTTGTTGGCGTTTCGCGTTATCAGGTCAGTCGAGGCGCTGGAATAGAACGCCCAGGTCTTTTTGCTGGCCGTTGAAGATGCCACCACTTCGAAATCATGGGAGTTGATCAAGGTGTGCAACGGTGGCTTTTCATTTTGAGGAACCATCTGCGGGCTTGCAGTAGGTGGTGGCTTCAGCCATTCATCGTTAATCGTGGCCTCATCTAGAACACCCATATGCCTCTCTGCTGACAGCTTCGTCTTGATTAAATTCGAGGCATGCACCTCTGAGTATGCTTTGGTAGCATCATGACCCGCGTGCTTCAGGATAACTGTAGAGTTGGAACGGTCATCTACGGGATGTTCTCAGAGCATTCCAGCAATTCCGGACATCACTTACCTGTTGGGCCTCCTGGATGCTCTTCTAAGAAATCTGTCATGTCCCATACTTGATTGTCCACAACAATCCAGCAGTCATCGGGTGAACTGTGCTGAGAGATCTGCTCTGTAGACAAGAGCTTCTTGACCGCCATTTTCTTCTCACTGTCAAGCAAGGCCAGACAGAAACCCGCAAGATGAGATTTTGGATAACCGGGCGCCAATTACCAGGGAGAAGTGCTTGGTGGTTGTATCTGCCACTGTGTTGCGTTCCAATATGATTGCAACTCAAGTTTTGCAACGTAAGTTCCTCAAGGGCAACCGAAGACAAACATCCAGGGAAGGGACTCCATCAGTAGTAATATATCCCCAGATCGACCAGTCTGCATGGTTCGGGGTAACATCAATGCGGAGTAACCTTAGCCGCATGGGAAACCGCATAGCAAAAGCCGAGAAGGAATGATCAGCCACGTTTTGTCAATCTGTTCCTACCGTCTGCACTATCAGCTAAGTTCAGCGTCAAGCTAGAACGATCATGACTTATCGTGCCTCTTAAGCATTAAGGAGGTAACTCTCATGAAGAGCGACAATGTCTGCACTGTGTCGCAATGTACGTTGTTCATCTGTTGTACAGTTGTACATATAGATTCAGGGACGACGAACAACCACGGAGTACACGGAGCAACGCCGAGGGAGAGTTGCTCCGGCATGCGGAGATCTTTCCGCTCTTTGGTAGAGCCCTCAGGCCAAAAACTACGTCAGCATTCAGGACGTTTCTCATGATTTGACGATTCTAGGGACCAAGTATGATGGGTAATTGAGTGGTGGTTAGCAAGAATATATTTTCTCTCCAAGGGCTGTCATTTGGTCCAATTATACTGGATTGAGGTGTAGGTCGACAGATGGCTTCGAGTTCCCAGCTATGACGAGACTTGACCCTTTGCCCTGGACAAGGGTTGAACCATGGCATCCCCCTGGCTACTTTGAAAATTACGTATCATATGATAGCATACTGTGACTCATATTTTGCTGCCATACTCGTAGTATTGAAATGTTACGGTCAAGGCAGGGACAAAGCATGTTATGCCACGTGACTGGTAGACGATTTTCTCTTGCCTGAGGCATCGACGCTTAACCCGGTTCCTCGTCTACCTAGAGAGGCTTACCGGCCAAAATAATTCAGGCACACAAGTCCCTGATACCTCAATCTGAACCGCCGAGTCGCTGCTGACCATACCAGAGCATCTGTGGCTGTAACAAAGAGCAGGGTGCTGAATCATCTGATGCATGCTCTTGGTGTAGACAATCTGTTCAGATTATCTGGAATCAGTAAAAATCTGTGGAGCCTCGGGGCAATAGGAGCTAGCACCGCGACCGCTATAGATTGTTGGCGACCACGTCTCTACCAGCCGCACCGAAATATTTATAGCAAATCAGGTATGTCCCAGTCCTGACTCGGGATGATGGCCTTGCTGCACACATGTGGTCTAGGTCTGACTCATTCCTGATCTGTCCCAGGACCTTAAGACGGAGCCGTGAGACTTACTCCAATGCAGCAGCTTCTGGTGGATCACTCACAAATCTGCATACCATTTCTAGCTCTTGTGCATTGAAGAGAAGAAAATTCGAATTCAACAGGTTCTCGACTTCAGCAAACATGGGCGACTCAAGCAAACCTATCCGATATGTTGATGTCGGTAAACTCATTGCGAATATGCAAGAATATCCTTGTATATTGTTCACTCGCTGATGGCCACGCTAGATCGGAATCAATCTCAGTGACCCTGTCTTCATGGGTAATTACCATGGAAAGCAAGTTCATGACAACGACATGGATGACATTGTCCAGCGAGCTCAGCATGTGGGTTGCGAGAAATTTATGGTGACAGGCTCCGACTTGGAGGAGTCGCGGCGGGCTATTGAGATTGCACAGAAGTATCGTATGTCCTTCCCAATATACTTTCATCTGTATGCAACCTGACGTCCTCTGCAGCGGGGTTCTGCTATGCTACGGTTGGAGTTCACCCGTGTCAGGCGAAGCTCTTTGATGAACATCCTGGCGGACCTGCAAAAATGCTAGAGGAGCTTAGAACGCTAGTGTTCGAGGCCAAAGCATCAGGCCAAGCTGTTGCGTTTGGGGAGTTTGGTCTAGATTACGATCGGCTTTCCTTGAGCGCAAAGGAGCCCCAGCTGAAATATTTCGAAGCTCAATTGGATCTGGCGGTGGAGGTGCAACTCCCTCTCTTTCTCCATTCCAGAGCTGCCAGCGAAGATTTCGAACGTCTTCTGGCGCCCCGCCTTGAAAAGCTTCCGAAGAAAGGCCTCGTGCACAGTTTTACTGGAACACTTGACGAGATGAATCGAATGGTCGCCCTAGGTCTCGATGTCGGTGTTAACGGCTGCAGTCTGAAAACGGAGGAGAACCTGGAAGTAGTCAAGGCCCTGCCACTTGAACGGCTTCAGATTGAGACTGATGGTCCTTGGGTATGTGTTTTACCTAGGATTTCTCAAACCTTTGATTGACATTAACTGTTCAGTGTGAAATCCGTCCCTCTCATGCATCTGCGAAGTATCTCGAAGGAGCCCCTCCGCTTCCCAAGGCTGTGAAAAAGGAGAAATGGCAAAAGGGACTTATGGTGAAGGGTCGCAATGAGCCTGCAGCAATCGCCCACGTTGCGCATGTCATCGCCAAAGTAAAAGGCATCACTGTCGAGGAAGTTTGTGAAGCGTAAGTCCATTCTCTTTCTATTACCCTCTTCTCGGTTTCCGATGTGACATGAAATATTGATTCAATGAGCAGTGCATGGAACAACTCAATCCGGATGTTTGGGCTTGGTGTCGATACACCATAAATTTTGTTCATGATATCTTTCCCGGTCGTTGCCCAATCCGGGGGAGAACACCGTCCCGCAAATTATGAATACTAGATCCTTAGATATAGAAGAGACGAGGCAGTTTGCACGAGAATATTATCAATGAAAGCTACTTGACCTCTGTCGATAAGAGTACCGTTCCTAATTCTTTGTTGCCTCATCCTGGAACCTTGGATCGGTGGTGTTCGGACCACTACCACTGCGAACCACGGTCCTTGCCTGATGATTCAACACCAGTCAGAGCTGTCTGACGGAATACTAGATCAGCCCAGCGGGTGTCTAATTAGCTAGCTAACTATTGTCGAACCTCTCTTGTGGTGTGGCAGGATAGATCCGAGGCAGCATGTCATTCTTCCATACAGTATGTGCCCGGAGGAACAGGCAACTTGGAAGTGAGGCTAACATACCTTTCTTAATTCCTTGCCCCTCAAACCTCAACTAGTCATTCTACATTCACTGCACAGCACTTGGTGGCTCGCCACATGTGCTTTGCCTTCTAGAAAGATGCTTGGTATGATTTACGTCGGCTTATTTTCTGATGACATTTTGGTTTTTCCTGGCTCACCGCCCTGTACTGTACCTGTAGTCGCACCACCACCACCACCACCCTTGCTCTTGTCTCTTTCCTTGTTTACCTTTCTACGTGATTGTAGTCTTCTTCTCTCCAACTCTCTCAAGAACAACAACCTCGACTTTCCAGACCTCACCTTCTGACCCGTCTAAACCCGGTCCCTCATATTGGTCACCATGTCTTCTTTTTCTAAAATCATGTTGGCTTGAAGCTTGTGGGTTAGACCCTTTCGAGTCTATCACCAACCTCTCTCTTAGCAGATCTCGCGCTGTCGCTGTTTAGTCAGATCTTGCATGAGAATCCTTCTTTCGTGGTGCATTGGATCCGTCTATCTCTCTCTCTCCCCAAAATTCAGCTTTTCATTGGCATTCTATCGGTTCATAGTGCCCCCTGAGCTCTCTTATCCATTCGTTTATCAGGACTTCGAGCCAGACGGCGACAGGGAATTGGCAATCTAACACAATGACGTCTCCGTTAACGGCTCAAAGCTCCAACAGCTCTCTCCAGAGCTCTTGTGGTAGGTTGTTTGTCTTTTCTGTGGGAACATCGATCATGTTCACACTCCTATCCGTATTGTTCAAGTTGCACTAACCTTCACAGAATCAGTGCGCCGCAGGGCATCCTCGATGGGAAATGAGTTCATGCCGTCAGAGTTCCCTGAGAATTTTGGAGAGGTTGTTAAAAGTGTCTATCGATCTGCTTTCCCGCAACCGTGGAGCTTCTCTGCGCTCAAAAAGCTTGGCCTTCGGACTATAGTGTATGTGGGCCATTCGTGTGTCTGATCCCTGCTCACCACCCCTCAGCACTTTGGTAGACGAGCCTTATACGCCAGAGCACATGAGCTTCCTCAAGGAAATGGGGATCGCGCACATCCGTATCCTTGTCGAACCCAACAAGGATCCTGCAGTCAAGTCTCCAGACTACGTTATCTGTCAGGTATTGGAAGTCTTGCTCAACAAGGCCAATCACCCTGTTCTTGTCCATTGCAACAAGGGAAAAGTAAGGCTTATCCAGGGTGTTATACGAGCTTGGCTAATCGAAATTGCTGCAGCATCGGACCGGCTGTGTGGTCGCCTGCTTCCGCAAGATTCAAGGTTGGCGCATTGAAGATGTGCTGGCTGAGTATCAGACATATTCGTTCCCCAAGTCAAGGCCGCTGGATCAGAAATTCATCATGGCGTTTGACGCCTCCCAGCTCTCTAGCCTGGCACAGATCTCTGGCGTGAAAATGTGGCAGTCTGCCAGTCTGCCGAAGGCATTATCTGAAGAGAATGCCAAGGATCAGGCTTCATCCTCGAGTCGGCTTCTACCCTCTCTGGGCAAAATATACGTGACTTGATAACCCTATGTCGATGGAACTCACGCTGTTCTTTTCTGTCATCTGTGGTGTGCCTGGTCATCGCAGTAGTCGGTGGTCTGACAACGCAAGTTTTTCAGCTACGTCAATGTCGTTGCAATCTTGGCCATGAAACCGGCTGATGAATCACACCACCTAGCTCTTGTCGCCTCTCGTTCTGCATCAAAATCTACTCTTTTGATTAGAACACTGGCCATCAGTGAAAGGCTTGTGTACCCAGAGCGAGAGCCACTCAAACTCCGCAGCGCTCCGCGATGTCTAGAGGCTCCATCAATTTGACTGCTTCTGGAAGGGTTGGATGCACGATATACCCAGTCATCATTTAGTTACCCATGTGATTTTGATATTGTGGATGGGTGTATGGCAGGGATGTGTCAGAAATTCTAGCCTGAGATCAAGAGAAGCGAATCGTAGAAAGACAATAGACCTGGAGAAGAACAAGTTGTAGGCCATAGTACACTAATGTAGAGAATAATCCACATTGATTGACAGTTTTAAGCGAACATATCTAAGCTAGTCGTTCTGAGTAGCTTTCTAACCGTCATTTCAGTGTCTTTGATTGTTTTTTTGAGCTGCTGGCAAACATATGCCATACTATACCATTCTACGAGTGATTCTCAGTGGCGTTCAAGTTCACTATTTAGGTTGTGATCATAGAATCTTATACATCATGTCATCATCTTCTTCGAAATCCTCAATGTCGGATATGAGTGCTGGAGAACCTGGACAAGGCAATTGGCTCGCAATGGCTAGCTCCATTGAACCTCTTTCTGTGGTGTCCCACAACCTCTCATTGACAGAACATGTACAGTTCTCATCAACTGATAAGAGAGAGTTTGTCTGGGATGTGCAATCAAGCCTGAAATAGTCCTCAATGCCTAAGTAGTCCTCAGAAGCCATGTCGACTTTCTCGGTAGCAGCGTGGTTGAAACAGTTCGGGACCTCTTCCGTCGAACCAGTTATTAGGAGAGATTCATGAGCATATGCTTCGTCCAAGTCTGTAGGATTGATCTCGTCCAATCGGCTCAGCTTCTGTGAGGCTTCTGCCTTGTAGAGTTGTTTTTGAGCAAGAGTCCAGAATGCCGCCTGGAGAATGTTTTCCGTATCTACTGCCGTCAATGGGAGACTGTCCGGTACGTATGCGACCTTCATACTGCTGACAATCTGTCGCAAAGAATGATTCATGGGTCGCTTCAACATGGATGTCAGGGACTTGACGAGCGATGTGATAAGCAGCGAACGTTGGCTCATTGCCTGCAACATGATTAGTAACCCAGATACTATGAGTACCTCAGGAAAGCAGATTACTTCACTGTACCCAGGGCTAAAGACTGACGGCGCCATTCTCGGAAGACTTTGCATTTGTGCCGTCTCTGGATCCGGCTCTGTCTGTCCTTGCTCATGACTGTTGCCAATCAACAGGTAGCTCAATCCGGCACGAAGTAGGTGTTGTAACGCTTGGTGGTTGGCGTTGCAGCTTCCAGCTGCTGGTTCTGAGTGAGGGCTTGAGAGCATGGTGCTATCCGGGCTATTATCCATATCTGCAAGCTCTTCTGTGAAATCTCTGGTATCAGAGAATTCGGGAATGTCCCTTTTGTCGAGCTCTGAAGACTGCAAGGTAGTAGATTCTAGCATCAGTTCTTCAAACTCAGGACCCGGTGCTTTCCATGCCATTTCTCCGAGACTCGCCATGATCAGCGCGGGAGGATGTGGCTGCACTTCGGGATCTGTGGGCATGAAAGCTAGACTTATGTTGACTGTAGATATACTAAAAGTCTCGATGTATGGCGGAGGGATGGGCTTCCCTGATGTCTGCACAGCCTTTGGAACTCTGCGGCTCACTGTTGGCAAGACAGCAGGTTGTGTGAGCGATCTTCCAATTCCGAAGGCTAATTGAAAGCTCGGAGGGGGTTTGTGATCGAAATATTCGCAGCTTTTGTACATGATAGCCAAGCCTAACTCTTTCCAGAGCTGAGAGCCAGAATTGTGTTAGCAACATTTTTAGACTCATCTTGTGAGGAGTATGTTACTGTGATTACCTTTGCATTGCAGAGCATCTCCCCCACAACTGGCACAAAAGTGGAGACGGTGACATTGGATACGTTATGAGCATTTATGGATATGTTCAGTTTGATCTCTGGTGCTTCAGCCACCCAAGCCCTTCTCATGGTCATTAGATGTATGAGATGCATGTCGCGTGCGGCAATTTGGGGTCTTCTGCGGGATTGTATGAATATGGAGACATTCATTGTGAGAGTCAAAGTTGAGTCTGAGGAATGGAAATCGGCTCTGCCTAGGTCTATTGTTGCTTCCATTTTGGATCGTCTGATATGAACTGAATTAGTGGGGAAAAGTGCCTCTATTCAAGCAGATACATAGTCGATGGTTTGACGAGGATAGATGCCCGGTGCTAAATGAAGCAAACACTGGCAAAATATGTAAGTGCCTCAACACAGCAACACCCGACTGCCAAGAAGTGCATATCTATTGCTTGTATCTGAAGCTATTAGCCCACACGCTCTGTATTCTACTTTGCGCCCTCGTCCAGAATAAACATTGAAAGATAATTGATAGCTTTGTTCCAGTGCTTCGTCTTACATCATAGACTTGGCTGCCGAGGCACCAATACGATAAGTGAATCGAGACTATACAACTAGAGGGAGGTAAGAACTCCTTTTGTGCCACGTGAGCACCGTTCAAGCGAGTATTTCCAAGTTTCAAAACTCCAGTCGTCAAATAATACTGCGCAAGATTGACCGAAGTTGGGCAATAATATTTGTACACAACTGACAGTCCCTCAATGCCCAGCTACGTTGCTTGTTGACATTTATTTTTAGAGCTGCTTATCGATAAGAGTATCACGTGCCTTGGGGTTTGATTATCTGGCCCCTAGACATCCTCCGCATCGAGGAATCTCGAATTCAGGAGTCCAACAATCAGCGATGCCCAGGGATGAAGGTGAAGATCATTTCCTGGCGGACAAAGATAGCCCCAACGGGCTGGATTCCCAGCCCCTTCTGTCACCCGTCGAGGACCACGAAACTACAAACCATGCGAATCCCGCCAGCGCGACCCGCAGCAGCAGCGGACAGCAGCCGCATCACTCCTCTATATCTCAGCCGGTCCCAGAAGGACAACGACGCACCCCTCGTACCATGAACCGCGTTCGCTTCGACCTGGAGGAAGAAACGGACGAAGAGCGTCGCTCGGAACATCACCCTCGCGATTCAGACGATATCTCATGGCTGGAGGAAGAAGACTATGGCCACGGCGACGGCCGGCGGCGCCAGATGGTCCCTTTGTTGACGGATATCGAAGCCCCCAGTGTCACGCTCGCAACGTCCGATGAATTCTTCCCGGAAGAACACCTGGAAAGTGCTCGTCCAAGGAGCGGGATGCGCATGGCTTTCATGAATATGGCCAACAGCATCATTGGGGCAGGCATAATTGGACAACCTTACGCACTTCGCCAGGCAGGATTGGTGATGGGGTTGGTGCTGCTCGTCGGACTCACAATCGCAGTAGACTGGACCATTCGACTTATAGTGGTCAACTCAAAGTTGAGCGGGGCAGATTCGTTCCAGGCGACCATGCAGCATTGCTTTGGCAAAAGCGGACTTATCGCAATCTCAGTTGCGCAGTGGGCTTTCGCTTTTGGTGGTATGATCGCGTTCTGCATCATTGTTGGGGATACAATACCGCATGTCCTGGGAGCCTTGTTTCCTTCGCTACGAGATATGTCATTCTTGTGGCTCTTGACCGACAGACGGGCCATCATCGTGCTCCTGGTCCTAGGAATTTCATATCCGCTGTCTTTGTACCGGGACATTGCTAAGGTTCGGCATGTAATGCTTTTGCAGCACTCTGAGACTCACAAGTTCATAGTTAGCAAAAGCGTCCGCACTGGCCTTGGTCAGCATGGTCGTCATCGTGGTTGCTGTGATCACCCAGGGCTTTAGAGTGCCCTCCGAGTCGCGCGGCGATGTAAAAAGTCTACTGTTTGTCAATTCAGGCTTTTTCCAGGCTGTTGGGGTGATATCATTCGGTACGATCGCGTTCCAGATCCAGATCATATAACTGTACTAACAGTCCACAGCATTTGTCTGCCGTAGGTTATGTCATTCAGGCCACATTACACTGGGACTAATAGCTTGGAAGACCATAACAGCCTCCTTATCTATGGCTCATTAAAAAAGCCGACACTAGACCGCTTCGCGAAAGTGACACATTACTCTACAGCAGTCTCCCTTCTGACCTGCCTCGCCATGGGTGTTTCCGGGTTTCTATTCTTTGGCTCGCAGACCCAAGGCAATGTACTCAACAATTTCCCATCAGACAACATTCTGATCAATATAGCACGACTGTGAAGTCTTCTCGCCTTAATGTACTGAGACATCGCTGGGCTGACTTTTGCTAGATGCTTCGGCTTGAACATGCTCACAACTCTTCCGCTGGAGGCATTCGTATGTCGATCAGTCATGACAACCTATTACTTCCCCGACGAACCTTTCAACATGAACCGGCACTTGATCTTTACCTCTGCGCTTGTTGTTACTGCGGTTGCTATGGCTCTGATCACTTGTGACTTGGGGGCAGTCTTTGAGTTGATCGGCGCCACGAGCGCAGCGGCCCTGGCCTATATTTTCCCTCCCTTATGCTACATAAAGCTTAGCAATGCCTCTCAGAAGGCTAAGATACCAGCCTATCTATGCATTGTTTTCGGGGTAGTCGTGATGGCAGTCAGTCTGCTTCAAGCTGTTGCGAAAATGATAAGTAGTACGTTCACTGCTCACCCGACTAACAGCATGCATCCTGCTAATTAACTCAACCACATTTATAGATGAAGGTGGTGCAAGTACCTGTGCTGCCTAGGCAAGGTACTGTAAGAGCCATTAGATCTTGCAACCTTGCTTCTGCTTTACTGGTGTCGTATAACTGATAGACTTTATTCAATCCCTCATTCACAAATTATGTACATAGAGAAGTGTATTAACAAGGTGAATCATTCTGTTCAGGGGCTCTGAAAAGGAGCTCCATGGACTCAAGTGAAGCAAACTCTCCTCTGGGAGCAACACAGATACCTAGATTTTGTGTAGGGACAATATGGTCTTTCAGTATACTATCATCCTTCAGATACTGATTTTCTCCTAAAAGCAGTCTTTGATTCATGATCAATATCAGTGGAGGCAATGAGAGGGACAGATGAGGCAGCGCACTACAAGGTCTAGGTTTTGGTGTGAATGTCATTTGCTAGGTTGTATCTGCGATGTTGTGCGCGTTTGCATGGTAACGCAGTTAACAGTTTCCACTCCCTGTTTCTGCTCCCTGCCTCCTGACCCCACCACTGTCCTCTTCATCATCTGTTTTTGCATGTGTTCCAATTTTACCCTTCTCGTTACTTCATCATTCATTCTACTTTCCAAAAGAGGGACTGGCTCTGTTTCCCGAACCCGGTAGAGTTGAATGTATGAAGTGCAGGTCTCATGCTCTTCCTTTGCACCTCTTCATTTCTACTTCGTCAACTACTGCTGCACATTGGCTTAGCTGGTTCTAGTATGTTTATAAACACCTGAAATCGTCCTCAGATCTATCCTTTTGTCAACTGTCGCTACCTTGCTTCTCTTTTCCTGACACCCAGCATTCTCACATTATCTTCTCGTCTCTCTGAAGCCTATCCTGGGGATCATAGCCATCTGGAAATCATGGATCAGAATGCAGCTGAACGCCTGAAGAGGCTCCAAATGGTAGGTCGTGTGTTTCCAACGATCTGTTCCTCCGTCTTTCGTTCGATCGCCCGCAGCTACTAACATAACTCGCCTCTACTCAGGACGACCTCGGCACGGCCAGACGAGAATTCATTTCAACCAAAGATGGCCCACGACGAGTGCTGAATGTGGGGTTGGACACCATAGAAGCAAGCAGAGAGTCCAACCAACCTGGAACGAAAGCCCAGCTCATGGCGCAGAAGAATAAGGCCCAACTCGCGGATTGGTCGAGTAAGTGCATCCTCCAGTGCTCCTCGCCCGACCTGCTTTCTATTGGGTTTCTGGTTCTTCGCTAATTCGAATTCAAAGATATCCACAAGACAATAGGTGATACTGGAGACCTTGAGAATCTCGATAGTCTTCTTGATGGCCAGACTCATCGTCTTGGGCTCGCTGCTTTGTTACATTCGAGGCCACATGACTTTGCTCCAATCAGGGGAGGTATGAATCGTGGGCGTGGTGGAGGCGTAGCAGGGACTCGAGGTCGTCAGGGGAAGCCAAGTGTATCGAAGTAAGTCAACTCACCAAAAGCCATATTACCATCAAAAACTAACGCACGAGACATTGATGATAGGGTTCTCGGTCAAGGAGGTGTCTCGAAATCTGGCAATCATGCTTTCAAAATAGATCAGAAGCAGACTCGTGAGGTCTAATCGTATCCAAACCCGTCTTCATTGCTTATTTGCTTTCTCTAGGTGCTCGAAAGCCGATCCCTAACCCACTAACCAAAGTTCGAAGACCCATGTAAGCTACCTTTTTGTTGCCTCAAAAACCATCTGACTCTGTCTCCAGGGTTGACTATTCCTCGAAAATCAGTCCCCCTGAAGATTTTATGGCTGCTGTTCAGGGTCTAGTCAACGTGAAGACTGCTTGCATAAACTCCACTGTTGCACTAGAAATGTCTAACGGTGATAGTTCGAGACCAGGCCAATCGCCTCCTGCAAAGAAAATACCAGGTCAAGTCCTATCTCGCTCCACGCAACCTGCTCTTGCAGTAGATCATGGCCCAAGCCAAAGGCCTCCCACCGTGACTAGAGCCCTGGGTCAAAGACCTCTCGAAAAGTCGCTTCCTCCTCAAGCCCAAGCGCCTCGAGCTCTTGCTCAAAAGCCTCCGTCTGCGACATACAACGAGTCGAGTCAACCTCTTCTCAGAAAGCCATCACTTTCGGAATCCGACATATCGAGAGATTCAAGCAAAAGGACACCTTCTTCCACGATCACCACAAACCAGAGCAATCCTCAGAAACTGGTTCCAGCTTCTGACGCCATGAAGAATCCAAGACAGACACAGTCGACTGCGACGCTGAAGGCGAACCAGACACCACCCAAGGATACTGTGCATCCTGTCACAGTGACAATGAAAACTGCTCCTGTTGCTTCCAATCTGAGCAAGGAGCACGCACTGAGGTCCAACAACACTTCTGTGCAATCACAGGCTGCTGCACAAACACGCCCGACTCTGAACTCGCAGTTGTCCAAACCCTCAACTGCGCCATTACTGCGGGATGAAGGGCCTCTGCCTAAGAAGCCAGCAACCAAGGCTTATGGCAAGCCTCCATGTCAACCGGGTAACAAAGCCAATCGGGTTCCAGAGAAGCGAGGCACTGCAATGGAGGCAATTCCAGTGAACAAGGTGATCGTCAAATTACCTCCTAGCGAGTCAACTTTCAAGCCGAATTTAGATGTCCCAGTCACGCCCAAGAAGACCAAACCACTCGAGAACCTTGTGGCCGAAGAAAGCGAGGAGAAAGCACCTCCGGCGGTGGCTTGTGGGGAGCTTCTTGATCTTGATGGTTCTCCGTCACCCGAGGATGATTCGGCTGAACAGGGTCCGGCCGCTACAGCTGTAATGAGTCCCTCCTGTCAAGATCTGGAGGGATTGGTATTTCGGCAGGGCATTACACGGTATCCTACTCAAGGAGGCTCGACCTCTAGTGAAGCTTCGTCAACACCGACTAACTTTACGGAAACCACACGAGCTTTTCTTAGTCAAATTATGGCCAACGCCGAGTCTATGATCGATGAGGACAAGCAGGTGGTTGAGCGCAAAGTCGAAGAGCTTCGCAAAGAACTGAAATTTTTCTCTGTATCAGAAGCAGGGCGCCAATATTCCAATGAAATGTTCGAGAGAGGAAGAGAAGAGTTCAGCTCCGAGCTCAAATCCGAACCTGAGCCCGGTTATCAACATTGTCATACATGCCAGGAAAACCATAAAGCTCATGCTCATATGTCGCCTGAGACGGTCTCGGTGCTAACGGCTAAAGTGACATTCAATGCAGCCTTGGGTGTAGAAGACCCTTTGACACCCCTTGCACATAAGTCACAGACCCACCGTTCTGTTTTCCAGACACGTCTCAAGGGCACTGCGCCGCCATTTGAGCCAAGCAAGGTTTACCCTCCACTAAGCAGCACAGCTGAACCAGTGACCACTGAACAGGAGCGTCAGGAGTCTTGTATCACCAAGGCTGTCCGTCATTTGTACGGCAACCATCTACTTCCCGGGAGGTCTGGAAACCGGCCTGGCAACGGTAAGTTCTTATTCCTTCTTGTCTTTCGAATCCCGGGCAGTATTGCTTATGTTGGCACTTGCTGTCAGCTTCCGTCTTGGAGGATGTGAAGGTCCCAGCATTTAAAGGGCGATTCGGTCAAATGACTCTCGCGTCTACTCCCGTCAAACCGAACTTGACATCTCCACTTCTTTCGCAGACGGACGCGATCTCAGCCTCCCCTGCACTACAGAGATCTATACACGCCCCAAGAGTTTCAGTGAACAGGTCACCAGCATCTCGGACTCCCTCGAGAGGACTGGATAGCTCCAGGTATGCGACGCCTGCCCTGGACAAGCCTCTACGCTGAGCTTCTCGCAACCAGCACCCACCATCGCTACACAAGGTCTGTACCGTTAGCCAATTCACACTCACCTCTGGCCTGCATGAGCTGGCGTTGAGGTCTATCCGCATAATATCCCCTATCTGTTTCTTCTCCCCCGCCCAAAAACGAAGCTTTTGAAGGCGAACACGCAAGCTACATTTGTTTCGATGCTGCCATATCTTACAGCAACTACTTAATTGTCTATTTTCTAGTGATGTGCAAAGCCTGTATGGAAGGGCTAGAAAAGTATTTTGTTTGTAAATCCAAAGCAAACTGGCCAGTGAGCAGATTCCATTGAGCAAACCAGTTCATTTGATTCCTGTGATCGTTCCCATTCCCTGTGACGCCAATAATCCATAAGATCTGCCTAGTCCGAGTAATAATCGCGTATCATTAAAAAGTCGACCCTCGATTTGTAGAGTACATAGAGAAAATACCAATGCTACCGTTACTGCTGATGATGTTGGTGTGGCGGTTGCTGAGGTTGCTGCTGCTGCTGCTGGGGTGGAACCTGAGGCATTCCACTTTGGTTCATCCGCGGTCTTTTCGGATCCATGACCCCAGCTCCTCCCGGAGCAGACCCGCTGCCGCCCGAGGCCTGAGCATTCGTCATATCCGACAAGGGAGGCCGTTTCCCGTTGGCATTCTGATGAGCCACAGGCCCGCTGCCGCCGGGCAGTGGTGGACGGTTCGGCGGTGCGGCGGTCCCATTCCGGGGATCGAGGTTTGGACGGGTCAAGGGTCGATACGAAGACGTCGTCGACGGGCCTCGATTCATCAAGGGGCTGCCGACATTGTTGCTCCCGGGGGCCCCGATCTTCCGGTGCATGTCTTGCGAAGGGTTGATGAAGTCCCGCGCCGCCGCGGCGGGGTTGCCACCGGCCGCGGGCGATGCGTTGTTGTTGCCTCCGGATAGCATGGGTTTGGAGATGGGTTTGCTGGTGCTGTGGTCGAAGCCGGCGGTCTTGCGGATGGATGGACTCTCCGCGTGCGGGTCGAAGGCCGGCGCCGCGGCGGGGACCCCGCCGTGCGGGTTGTCTCGGAGGAGATCGACGGCGCGCGCGGAGAAGAACGAGGCGGAGGGGGTCCCCGGTGGAAGAGATTCGGGGATACCTGCCGTCGTTGTTGTTGTCGATGGGGCGCCGGGTTCACGTTTGATGGGGACGGACATCGGGCCGTTGTTACCACCTGCGGGCCCGGCTGCTGTTGCTGTTACCGGTGCGGGTGATGCTGCTGTGGGCACGGATGGAGCGGGAATCATTCTGCCATTCTGAAAGTTTGGTCGGGGCCCTGTAGGTGGCATGGGCCTCTGTTGGTCGCCAATTGCGGGGGGATTGGGGCGTCCGTTGAACGGCTGTGGAGCAGGATACTGTCTGGGGGCTGGGGGCTTGGATGGCGTTACCATCGCCGAGTTCGGTCTGATGGGTCCCCGGTAGTTGTTATTGTTATTGTTATTGTTATTGTTGTGAAAAGGTCGCTGATGAGTGTTGAGTGGAGTGGGTGGTTGCTGTGCCCGCTGTGATTCTGGTCCTAGCACAACCTCGTCTGGATTGCCCGTTTCGGTGACGCCGAAATCAGTTTCGTCAAACAGATCGCCTAGCGCGCAATAATGTTAGTGATCAGCTTTCGGGCAAGTTGATTGAGAGTGATAATAGCTGCGTACTTCCAAATTCGCCGTCGCCGTCGAAGGCCATTGAATCATCGAAGTTGGGCCGCTTTGCGACAGCAGCTGGACGCGGCGGCAGATCATCGTCCTCTGGCGATGGTTTGGGTTGCACGGGTTCTTTCTTGATAGGAACAAAATCTGGATGTCGATGTAGCTCATCGACATCCCATCTGGCCTAAAGTCGAAGAATGTCAGCAGAGGCGAGGTTTTCCTTGGTGAGGGTCGTCGCATACCGGCGCGGCTTTCACTTTGGTGACTTTTGACACATAGTCCTTGTCGTAGATACAGTTGCCCAGGACATTGCCGAAGTTTCGTAGCGCACGCTTGAGCGCATCTGTGGTGCCTTCTTTCTTTGCCTTTTCGAAGGCAGCTGCCTTGCCCTTGCAATTCTCGATGTGGCCGTACCCGATGTCCTAAGAATCGTTCCTTGTCTTAGAACCCGTTCATTGACTAATGCATCGCCACTTCAAAGGGCATACCTCATGATAAGTGCCATCCTTCAAGGTGACTCTCACTATTACGGAGAGACCCAGGCTGATTTTACCAGTGTTTTGACTCTCTTCAACCTATTGAATGGAGCGTATTAGTCATTGACCCGAGACAACATCTGTGGCCAAAGGGAGATCTGAAGAGGGGGCATACAAAGTCGATCTGAATGTTCTGAATCGAGCTCGACCATCCGTTGAACCCGAAGACCTCATTCGCAAGATTGATACATTTGTCAGCCGAGAGATAATGTACGCGCTGTCCCGCAGCACCCGGCCTTGACGAGATGTATTCGGGCCCCAATTTCTTGTCGAGACGTGCTTGCAAGGTCGCGATCTCCTGCGCGGTATATTCGCTTATACGTCGTTGTGGTTCTTCAAATGGGTTGGCGGAGAGACTCCCGCTTGAATTGGGCATCGCGATGGTAGCAGGGCCGCCCCGGTGCTGGTCGCCAACACTAAAGACGCGCGGTCAGTCGGTGTTGGCTTCGTCGCGGCTTGACAGGTATAAGAACACTTACGCGGGCATAGCAAAGTTAGGTTCTTGTAGATGCTTTACCGAGGTACTTCATCGAGCAACAGTCCTCCGTTAAGCTTGTAATGACCGATGAAAGGATCGAATGATGCTGTTGCCCCCGACGTGTCGAGGCGCGCCGGATGCCGACACGGCTTTATCGCGATGTCACGTGATGGTAATCGCAACGCAGATAACAATGGAAAGTGTCAATTAGTGCCAACGATCCTATGCCATCAGTTGCTGATTGAGGGTGGGTGAATGCGCCTAAAGAGAGCAAGTTTGACAGCTATTTGCAGTCTGGCCGGTTATCAATGTGGCTGTTACTTTGGCTTGATACTGAAGGAGAAGAAACGATGTTTGAACTTATAGAGGCAGGCAGCATTAGGCAGCCTTCGGCTTTGCCACACTAACGCTCCAACGCAGCCAGATTACTATCACTTTGCCGTCATTTGACTCGATCTCTCCTGCCCTCAATGTGTGTTTCTATCGGAGAATTTAGGTGGCAAGAGAATATAAACCAGAATGAACCCCTTCAAATCACTGAATCACAAGACTCGCGCTCGGGATAAGCCCCAGATCCTTCAAAGATTCACCAAATAATTCCGCATTGAATACTTTGCGAGGGAAGTTCTGAACGAAGCTCTGTACCTCAACTCCATCCTCCTGCTTGAGAGCCGCGGCAACTTCGAACAGGGTAGTTGTCACAGGGACCGTTTTCATGATATTGCCCTTGGGCGTTTGGAATCGCAGACGAGTTTCCGTGTAGGCCGATGCAGGCTTCGAGGAGACCGGGCCGGATGTCGTGGCTGCTGGGACTGGGGCTGGTTGCGCAGGAGGTGCTACACCAGCTCTCTCGGCTTTCTCACGCTCAGCCCGGAGTCGGCGCTCTTGCTTGTCCGCCTCAATCCTGGCTTTGACCCGCTGTTTAGCTTCGATGTCTGCCATCTTGTCCTTCTTCTTTTGTTCCGCTTCCTTCAGCCTTTGTTTCCTGTCCAGCTCCTCCTTGACGTCTTGTGAATCCTTGTTAGCTTTCCGCCGGATTGCCTGGGATAAGACCTGGTTAGCTTGAATCACAGGGTCTGGCAAGGACAGTAGTCCGCGTACCTCATTCCTCTTCTGGTCAACCTTATCCTGCTCAGACTGCACCGCTCGCTTGGCGGCCAGCCTTTCTCTGAGCTCCTGGAGTCTCGCTTGCCGTTGCTCATCAGTCAGTGGCGCAAGCTCCTCCGTTGACTCAGAGAAGTCGGTATGTTGGGATTTCGAGGCATGAAATTCAGCTTGGGCGTGGCTTCGGAATTTCTTGCCGCACTCGTTGCAGACTAGACTGCGAGCCTCTTCACCAGGCGCGAGTGCAGGACCTTCAGCCTCCTCATCTTCCTTGATTTCATCGATCGATTTGTCTTGGTTCTTTTCGAGCCATTCTAGAGCACCCTGCACTAAAGTGGTAAAAAAATGAAGCACGTCAGCAGTCGGCGACATTGAGGGCCAGAGGGAAAATCGTACGTCCGGTGCCTTTGGCGACTGCAAGCTGTGCTCTCTCCTTGTCAAAGCCCATCTCAATGAGCTGGTCTAGATCGGAGGCCATGGTCGCACGGGGTGGGTGCAATAATTGCTGATCGATGCGAGAAATTCGAATGGAGCGAGAGGGAGAGCCCAAAGGCGGGGTAATGAAGGCGGGGTTTTAGCCTGGGCAAAGTGACAGGCAGATGGAAATGTATCACGACCCTGTATACCACTCAATATAGTGAGAAAGAGAAGCAATAAAATGCAAGCTGCTATCGAAAAGGGTGGATGAGGTGGATGAGGGGAGGTCAACAGTGAGGGTGCGGGTGACGTATCGACAAGCTCGGGAGCGGAGCGGAGGAACAATCAATCAACTGCGGGATGACCCGCCAGCTAAGCTCGAAAGTTGAGCCAGTCCCAGGCTCGTTCCTAGGCCCACGGTCTGGGCTCTATACATCGCACCTCAGAGAAACACCCATTTTGCTCGTCAAGGAGCCTGAAGTCTTGGTGGTTCCTGGCATTTTTGCTTGGGCCACAAATGCAATCTCCGCAGCTTGCGTGAGGATTCTACTTCTATAGATAAATCTCGCCTGCGCAGAGAGAAAAAAACGGCCGCAATGACTTATCACTACAGTCGACGAGAGAGTACTATGATTAGTAGATGCTCTACGATGTTGATGACTAGTCGAACCAGTTTTGTCCAGGATTTGCGAACGTAGGACGAAGATGTCCCAAAGTTGGTCACTCCGTTCGAAGTCCCATCCAGTTAGAAGACGCTGCTGACACCAGAGTATTGTGGCTTATTTCACCAGACCTGGATCCTGAACCAGTACTTCGAGATAGTTGGGCGGAATCTTTTAACAAATCAAGGCCTTCGGCTTCTTTGCCTTTGTCCATGTCTGTTCTCTCCTCGGCCACGTTTGACTGCTGGGGCCGAGCGCAAGAGTCGTAGTCCTACCTACCAGCTGCGCCTTAGCTGAGTACACGTTGTTGCCGGTAGTTAGGTAACCTGTAAATCGTCTCATGATATCTAGCGGTGAGTCGTCGCAAGCCAATAGTGATGCTTCGTTGACAGGCTCAAAAAGAATCGGTGTGTGAAGCTGATTGCCATCAGAGGACCACCTACCTCTTGCCGGGTCGTTCCTCGTTATCTTGGGCTGTAAGGTTCGAGAACCGAAGCAGTATTAAGGCGAGACCGCGCATTCCAGAGATCATTATGCCTGAAGAATCAAGGCGTGGTGAACCCGTGGCGTGCAATCGGCTGGGCTATAATGTCCTTTGCGGGGTCGTGAAAGATCAACAATGCATGCAAGATATTGGCGTTTATTGACTGACAGGATGAGATATCAGTATCAGGACCTGGTAGAGAGTAGTATTTTTAGACGATGTCAAGCAGTGGATCCCGAATCTATGGACCCAGACAGGCGTGGCCGATAACTGATGGAGCCGGTAGATCTGTCCAAAATGTCCGATCGCAACAGCCCATGAGCATTGCGGTGCAGCAGCAACGAAGCCGACATATGAATCTGTAGTATGTACCGTGACTAGCTACGGAGTACTACTGCCTAGAATGCAGGTACTGGCCACGAATGATGCCTGAAACACCATGTCAAACGCCTTGATGACATCACCTGACCTGGACCTCCGTGGCCGTGCTGAGTCAGCGTGTCCCCGGCCCAACCAGCAGCAGTTGCGATGCCGAGTCCAACTCATTCATCATTACTCCGTACTATTCCAGCCTCTCCTCACTCTTCTTCCCCAATTCCAATTGCGCCTAAACATATATCCGCCCTGTCGTTGAGTTGGTTTGACCTTCTTCTTGTGAATTTCTTGCTGAGACATTTATCTTATTAATATTCTCTTTGTTAGGTAAATTCTCTCCGTCAGTCCTCCGCACTCCGTTGGCTACTCGGACCTGGCTGATTCTCTTTGTCACTCTAGCGCTCTCCCTCCTGTAGACAGGAAGACTCTCCCGCCGCCCTCTTCAGCCCGTTCCTTGGTACCTACACCACTCCTTATCCGCGCAACCCCCTTTCTCCCGCTCGAACTACCTCTACGCCGCGTATTCGCTATGTCTATCATTCTCGATCCCCCGGAGTTGGGCTTTCAGCGTGAGCAATACTCCCTCTCCCCTGGTCGAGCTTCTATACCAGCCATGGACCGCCCGGCTCACCGGTTCCAGGTCCCTTCAACCGTGAGGTGTGTCAGATGTTGCACTTGAAGAACGAGAGTGCGGAGCCTGTCGTCTTCAAGGTACGTATACGAGCCGGATCAGAATCAAAATGGCGAGCAAACTAACAAGCTCCCGTATACTAGGTCAAAACTACCGCCCCTAAGCAGTACGTGGCCAGTCCCTACTCCACACCCCTGAGTAACCGATACGTTTGAATCACAACTGACTGAGGGCCAGCTACTGCGTTCGTCCCAACTCGGGCCGGATAGATCCTGGCAAACATGTCGATGTCCAAGGTCGGTCTCACTGGGCTCCGTTTTCAAACCCCGTCACTCGGCTTAATGTCTGACAAGTTCGATAGTTCTGTTGCAGGCCATGAAGGACGAGCCTGCGCTAGATGCCAAGTGCAAGGACAAGTTTCTCGTTCAGACAGTCGCGGTCACTCGTGATATGGAGTTCGCCAATGTTACCTCGATTGTTGGTTTTCCGCCCGCCCTCTCCCACGGCCCCCAGATTCAAGTACAGAGCATCACCTAACCGGCGCAATAGTTTGAGAAAGCCCCCAAGACAGCACTCCAGGAGCGCAAAATTCGTGTGAACTGGCTGACCGCCGATGATGCCCCAGTTGAGGAACAAGGAGTCGAGGCGACTGGCGTAAGTTGTCATTTTAGCCCCTTACTTTCCTCATTCGTCACTTCGTTGACTAATCACGTTGCGCAGAATGTGCCCGATGAAGAGCCTCCTGCCTATACCTCGCCGCCGAACCCCAACTATCAGACTCCTGCTGCCGCGCTTACGAAGAGCGCGAACGACACGTCACCCATCCCACCGCCAGATTTCAGCGACAAGCCCAAGCGGGAAGTCTCCACCCCGCAGATCATCGAAAGCTCGGCCACGTCTTCAAAGTCACCCGTAGCAAGCGCTAGCGAAGACTTGAGAGCCCAATTGTCCGAGGCAAATTCGCAAATCTCAGCGCTGAAGGAGAAGTTGGCAGATCAGGGTCTGAGACAGCGAAAGATTGGAACCGATGCCGAGAAGGTGCCCGCGCCTTTGGCGCAACAGCAGCCACAGTCCGTGGAGGCTGGTGTGCCCGTGCAGATCGTGGCGGGTCTATGCCTGCTAAGCTTCTTGATCGCCTACTTCTTCTTCTGAATGTCTTGATCCCTCCCCTCTTTGTGTCCACTCTTTTTGAATTTCCTTTCCTGTGACCCCCTTTTCCCATCATGTTTCTTTACAGACCAACTGTATTCCCTTCTGCCAATTCTCTTACTTTACTACGTTGACAACAACAGCAGTGGTACGGTGCTATTATTTATTCGTTGTGACAGCCCGTTTATTCTTCTTCATGGTCGTTCTAATTCGGCCCGGTCTCCCCATGCCGTTTTCTTCTACTTGAGCAAGCACCCTTGTTTCTTCCATTGTCTTGTTGCTTTTTTTTCATATTTGATGATATGATGTAAATGGAGGCAGAGTTCTTGTTTCAGCCAGGCATGAAAACTTGAGATTCCATCGTCCAAGGTCGCGGCGACTTTAAGCTATGCTTGCGACATCTGGCCGCTGATAACACACACATTCCACATTTGACACCTTCTGGTACAACATGTCCCATGTGCCATCGGGTCGCGAGCCTTCCCGGCTTTAAGTTTGTCGGGTCATGACTCCGTGGTCTTCGACTCACCTCAACCACATTTGTTTTTTCTTCTTCTCGTTGCCTCCAGCCCTACACCTTGTTCGATGAGCGAGAACCTTTTTCTTCTAGACGGAATTCATGCGTTCCTGAACCAGGCAGTGAAACTCCACTGAGCTAATTACGATGATGCCACACCACGAATGTTCATAAATCCTTGCCGGGGATTCAGCCCTTTTGTTCTTCCATGCTCCTTCCAATATTGTTCCAATAGCTGATAGTTCCATGATAATGAATCTCTCTCCGAGCTATGGGTTACTTTCTATGCGTTTGTTTTGGGCGATAGTCGTGATACAGATTTGTTGCGAACCAGAAAAATCTCATCTTATTCATGACCATGACTCGAAGACCCGCACACGAAGTCTGTGGAGAAAAAAACCAGAGCTGAAGGCCAAACGGGTCATGTCTAATTGTAGGTATACATAGTGGGGTGATAATGCACAAGGGCAGTGCGGCGGGATTTCCATCACTCAATCAACAAAGAAGCGGCGTATACAATGACACGATGCGGGTAGATAGATGGTGGGAGCGCGAAATCAGTTCTGGATCTCGCTTTCCTTCCATCCATCCCCGGATTCCTGCGGACCAGCCGACGAGGAAGCCGAGATGCCCTCTCCACCACGACCGTTGCCACCTCCGCCACCTCCTACGAGACGACCACCCTGCGCTCGCTTGACGCGACACCACATGCCCACGTTCTTATCCAAGATGAACGTCCAGATCACCCACACCCAGCTGTGGTGGCAGGGCAGGGGCTCGTAGAACTCCTTGGCGACGCGGTGCAGTTCGTGCAGTCTGGTCCACGGGATCGCGGGGAAGTCGTGGTGCTCGTTGTGTAGGCCGACGTTGTAGGTGAAGAAGTTGAGGGGCCCGTAGTAGGAGTATGTTTCCGGAGGCGGGAGGGAGTCCAGCGGATGCGGGGCCGCCGTGGTGGACTTCTCCCCCTTCGGGTTCTGGAGATCCTGGAGGGACTCGGTACCGTGCGAGACCTGCGAAAAGAAGTAGTGCTCCGCGATGAAGTGGCCGGCGCAGGGGTGGAGGGAGCCGGCGAGGAAAGAGCTCATGAGGAGGTAGAGGACGGGTTGGATGGAACCGCCGCAGAACTGGATGAGGAAGTAATCGAAGGAGAGCTGGACGGCGAGGTTGAGGAGGTGGATGTATGTGAAGGGCGGGCTGTAGATGAACATGGGCCGGACGGCATAGAAGAAGATCTGGAAGGTGCAGAAGAATGCCTTGCCCAGGAGCGAATCCAGGAAGAAGGCTTCCACGGCGGTGGGGAGATCGGTATCCAGTCCGGTCACACCGAGGGACTTGTGATGGGTGAGGTGGTAGGGCTGTGTGTGGGAACACGGTGGAGTTTCACGTTAGCAATCCTGTATATGGTCACGTCGCCACACGCGGTAACGACCCGTCACGAACGTGCGGGAGCTTGTTTGAGGTTCGGGGTGGCCACATACCCTGAAGGCAGCACTGTAGGGCAAGCCAATGGGCAGATTGGCGAAGATCGCCAGTAATCTGTTTGCTATTGCGGACCGGAAGGCAAGATTGTGTGAGATCTCATGGATTGCGAGGAAGAGGTTCTGGTTGGAAGTGGCCCCAATCACGTATGCAGTTGCGAGAAATTTCCAGGACAGCATGGAAGTATTGCGGAGGAGGTAGGCGCAGAGGATTTGAAGAGACACGACTCCCAGAACGACATATTTGGTCAATGGCTCCGGTCCACAGAGCTTGGTGACCTGAACACACAAAGACGAGAGTTGTTAGTATTGACCGTCTGGCAGGGATATTGGAATGAGTACGACGCACTTCTGGATGGGCTTTGATGATAGCCAATCGCCTCGATCGATGGGGCTCTTCCGTATAGGTCCAGAAAAAATGATCCTCAACAGCTGACTTCTCTGGAGGCGCAATCCTCACGGAGGGCTGGCCATCGTGTGCTGTGGCCTGGGGATCCTGGCTCTTGGCCGCGGACACGCGGAGATGCGGCGAAGTTCCAGCCGTGGCCGCTTCGACAACAGAAGAGGACATACTGAAGAGGTCAGCAATTGGGGGGGGGGATGAAAAGAGATTGGTCTAATGGCTACTGGGCGCCATGGATGAATAAGAAGTAAGAAGAAGGGAGACAAAGAAGTAAAGAGGGAGGGCGCAAGAGTGCAAGGTGGAAAGAAAAGTGATCTGATTAAGCAGGAAGCTGAGAGGACGGTTCGGAGGACACCCTTTCCACGTGGGGCTACCCGCATCCCGACTTATGGTTTGATCCTCTCAACTCTTGTTTACAAAAAACATTGCTCAAGTGAGTGAAGACGGGTCGATGATGACCCTACTCAAAAATGCCGGTACTGTTCATTCCTTTCCTACACAACCTTGTTCTGTGTTTTCTATATAGGCTATTTAAGCAAACATATCGCATGCCGTGGCAGAATTCATAGGCATAAAAAGACCCATCTTAGTAGTCGTCTCCGCGACTGATCACCTCCTTTACATTAGGTCGGAGGACGATGGTCTATGAACAGGTCAGCGTAGGTTCAAGAAATACTAGCGACACTATAGTGAAGAACATACATGTTCGTACTGGGCGGTGTAAGAGCCCTTAATATCGCAAAGCGGGGGGTAGTCCTGAACAATGCCCGACTGCACCAGGTTGTTTAGCTGTATGGTCTGTTAGCACTCGTCCGCCATCGCAATGCTGTCGAAATGCCTACCCCAAGGAGGTACTTGTCTTGGCCCAACCGGTCGAGGTACCGACGACAGAAGGGAAGAGTTCCAAAATTCTTGTTAATAACGTTCAACAGATTCTTGGCGGAAGAAAGACGCAAAGGCACCGGAGCAGCGTTAGGGACCAGAGCGTAGTGAGAGGTTTCCATCTAGGCCGCAGTCGTCAGTAAGCATGTAGATCGACTTGGATACGAAGCACTCACATCCTCGTGCACATAGCCCTTTCCGGTACTTCCAAAGGTCTCGATGGCGAAGACTTCACCCTCCTCCATCTTGGTCTGATCTCCGCCCTTCACAATGGGAACGCTCTTCCCACCGTGGATAATGTGTTGGTCAATGTTGTGACCGTTGAGGTTTCGAATACATTTAACGGGGTGCATAGTTCCGTTGATCTCGCATTCGTAGCTCTCCATGACTTCCTGAATAGCGGCACCGATGTCACTCATGCGAACATCAATACCGGCTTCCTATTTCCCCAAGAAACCATTAGTTCAATGTGTGGAGTCAGGTCATTCGGGGCACTGAAGCCATACCCGGATACCAGTGTTGGTGGCGTCCTTGACAGCCGCCAGGAGAGGGTCATAGACCGGATCAAAGGCAACAGTGAAGGCACTGTCGACAATCCGTCCGTTGATGTGAGCTCCAAAATCGACCTTCATGACATCGCTCTCCTGCAACACCATCTTATTGCCCGCATTGGGTGTATAGTGGGCGGCACAGTGGTTGAGACTCAGACCACACGGGAAACCCATACCACCCTTGATGTTGTCACCCTCCTCCAGGCCCTGGTGGCCCGTCAGAGCACGAACAGCGTCTTCGATGCCCTCGGCGATTTCCGTCAGAGTCTGGCCGGGCTTGATGTTCTTCTGCGCATACTGGCGGACCTGGCGGTGCACTTCAGCACCCTGGCGGTACTCCTGCAAGAAGTCATTGTTCATGCGGTCGAGATAGCGCTTCTCCTCGTTGGTAGTGCGGTAGGAGTTTTCATTCTGGTACTCGACAATCTCTCCTTCGGGGAACTGGTTGTTCGGGAACAAAGTCGAGATCGGAACGCGCGGAGGAGAGCTCTGGACCTTGGCGCCACCCTTCTTCTTCTTCTTGGACTTGCGCTTCTTCTTTTTCTTGGCGGCTGCAGTTGCAAATTTGCGCTTCTTAGTATCGAAAGCCTTGAGGTTGTTGAAGTTGTCTGGGGAGAAGCGGGAGATCCGTACCTCCATTAGCTGCGCCTTCAGCGCCAGCGTTATTATCCTCGACTTCATCGTCGTCGGAATCATCCTCCGCCTCTCCGGTTCCAGCCTGACCAGCGGCGGGAGCGTCGACCTTCGCATCGCCGCTCTGACCGTTGACTAGTGGCGCGGGGAAATCTTATCAGTCACATGTCGGGACGAGGAGACATGGGTCGGAGAAAAGTGGGAATCTTCACTTACGGTCGAGCTTCTGCAGCTTTTCACTAGCCTGGGCAGCCATGTTGAAAAAGCTGGAAAGAAACCAGGTGTGGTATGAGTTGAAAAGAGAGAGAGAGAGTAGGGAAAGAGAGGGGAAATTGAAGTTCGGCGGAGGCGACGGGGGAAAACACGGTCGGCGCCAAGACTTGCTCAGAATAATTAAGGATGATTTGACGGCAAATGGCAAATTCGGCGATGCACCAACTGGCAACCCAGTAACTACTGTTTGTAGTACCCATCTGCAACTAGTTCGCCCCGTGTATATGCAATGACAATAGGAGAGAGAGTGTGTTGATTCTTTATACAAGTGATCTCATATCTCCAACCTGAGTTTAACAAATTGACAGATGATTATCACAGATCCATTCAGCAAGACATCAACACTATAGTTAGTGAATAGTGTCAACAGAGCTCAAGGAAAGCAAGTGCTCAAAGAAGAACTTCAGTTGCATCGAATGGCAAGACACCCAAGTTGCCAATACACAAGAGATATCTCAGACCACTTCAGCCACAGTTAATGACCAGCGTCACAAGTCCACCGCAAATCTACCTCACGGTGGAACGTCAAGAGCCCATCCCTCAAAAGCCGGGCACGGAAGAAGCCCGAAGCCATGACAATATCAGAAGTAGACATTTGACCACGGGCAGGATCTGAGGAACCCAGCATCCATGCATTAACTCGCAACAGTAAAGTTAGATGTAGAGACGAACGCCCCTCGTGTTTCCTGGAGTCCGGCCCTACCATACATACATTATGTACAAATAGTAGGCCGGTTAACTAGTCCTTGACTAGCTTCGATCAGATAAGCCACCCGATGACGCATGGCAGCAGCCCGCACTTCCGAAGAACAGGGGCGGCGGATTTTCGTCCGCCTCAACAACCTCTCCACCCCTACCACAGCACAGTACAAACACAACGTATAACTATCTTTCTCGCTCCCCAATTGTCCTTGAGTGACTGGCTTGATTCAACCCGCAACTCATACATCGTTACATGTACCGACCACCGTGAATTGCGGGAAATGTCACATTCTCGTCTGCGGGCCGCCGCATCCTCCTTCATCCACCGTCAATGCCGCTATAACAACCCTCGACCTCAACCCCGAACAGCATCAGCAGCATCATCTTCGCCATTCGCTCACATCCACACATCTCACCCTCGCCTACACCCTTACAAAAATGTCTCCACATCACAACAACAACAACAAACCTCCTCATTCTCCACCACAACCCACCATCACGCCTCCGCCCGCGAACCAACCTACTACGAAGTCCTCGACATCCCAATAACCGCCTCCCAAGGCGAGATCAAAAAGTGCGTTGCGTTGCGTTGCGTTGCGTTGCGTTGCGTTGCGTTGCGTTGCGTTGCGTTGCGTTGCGTAGCGTTCCCTCCCCCCCTCATCCCCTCACCCCCAAAACCCCACTCCACATACCCCGACCCAAAATCTAACCAAAAATCCAGAAAATTCTACACCCTCTCCATGCGCCACCACCCGGACCGCAACCGCGACGACCCGACCGCCTCGTCGCGCTTCGCCCGCATCTCCTCCGCCTACAACGTGCTCAGCCAGCCCAACAAGCGCGCCGCCTACGACCGCGACCACGGCATCTACGCCCAATACCAGAACACGCGGTCCACCGCCACAGCCGGCCAACATCCCATGGGCAGTTACAGCAGCCACGGCGGCGGGGCCAACCTCCACACCAAGGGGTCCTCGTACGCCGGGTCCCGCCCCGCCAGTGGGCTGAGCAATCGCCGGGGTCAGTTCCGGGGCCCGCCGCCGAGTTTCTACGCGCATGGTGGGTATGGGCGGACGGGGAGGACGAACCCGGGGCCGGGTTCGACAGGTGGTGGTGGGAGTGATGCTGCGGGCCAGTCATCCACTACCACTAATGATGAGGATCCGACGGCGTTCATTCATAGGAATACCGTTCATCATTTCAACGCTAAGGGTCACTATAAGACTCAGTCGGCGGAAGATGTTCGGCGGAAAGAGCGGAGGCAGAAAGCCATGGAAGCCGCCCTGAAGGAACAGTACATTGGGAGTCCCTGGGGGGCCGCCATGCGATTCGCGGCTGTTTGTGGGATCTTGGTCGGGGCTGCAACAGTGGCGGGCTTATTTCAATGGCCACGTGAGAAAGTAAGCAAACAGAAAGATCAATTGAGGTGATGAGGTGTGCTTATACAGGTGATCATATTTATGGGTGCATGAGTGTATTGGGCTCGGTTGGCATCGTCAAATGTGTCGGGTAGAGAGATACACATGGTACAGGAGTTCGGTAGATACCTTGGTGGCATTGGATCCAGACCACAGGTTTGATCAATTGATATCATGCAGCATGTACATATAATGAACAAAGGGAAATGTAGACTTGATATACACTTATCGTCGGTAGATACGATACATGATTATTAACTAGACATCCATAAGAACCCACGCCCACCCACAAGACCAATCCTGCGCGAACCAATAGCCCGTTCAAAGACCATAAGAAAGCAATCAAGTTTCTACTCTTAAAGGCTTTCAAAAATCAATGTATCCGGCTAACTCGAACGCAAGACTCTGAGTGCGGACTGATGCTAACTATGGTAGCTCTTCTAAGCCTCGAAGGTGAAGCTGGCGCCAACCTTGTGGGCAGCCTGGTTGAGGTTCTGGGTATCGAAAGAAGCACCAAGGCCAAGGGTGACACCAGGGCGGAGGAGAACGTTGTAGGCGAGAGCGGCAACACCACGGTCGTTGATCTTGGCCTATTATCACAGTCGAACAGGTTAAACCTTATCACGCTTGACATTCATATCCGGAACATACCTTGGCGAAGGAAGAGGGGTCAAGGCGGTACTTGCTGGCGACCTCGAGGCCGACGGAGTTACCAGTCTTGGAGTCCCAGGTGGCCTTGGCACCAGCCTCAACCTGCTCGTTGACGCGGTGGTAGTAGCTGGCAGAGAAGACGGACAGGTTGTTGCCAGCGGTGATGGCAGCGGAGTACTGGGGAACGCTGTAGCCGACGGCAGCGGAGTACTTGGTGATGGCGGCCTTCTGGACGTCGTAGCCACCCTCAGCACCGACAAGGAAGCCCTCGTGGCCGAGAACAGCGTCGAAGTTGGCGGAGGGACCGTTGAGGAGGTCGAAGAAAGCACGGGCGTGGAGGTTGGGCTGCTTGAAGTGGAGGTTGAGCTTAGCGCCCTTGGACTGCTTAGCGGGCTGGTACTGGGTGAGGATCTCAGCCTTGAGGCCCTTGGCGATGTTGTTGTCGAGCTCGAGCTTGGTGTCGAGGGCGTTGGCAGTGGTCCACGCCTGGGTGAGGGTGAGGCCTGAACGAGGACGGAACATTAGCACTACCGCATGCTGGGTATTCATTGACATAAGATAGACGAAGAGGTGCTTAGACGGGACATAGCCACACGCAAGCATGAGCGTGAGCCGGTTGTCGGGCACTCTGGAAGGTGGAGGGTCGGGAGGTTTGCGCAAGGGATGTTCGCGTGTTTTTTTGCGCGATCTGGGGCCTTTACCGGTGGGCTTGTCGACGTACTTGGCCTCGAGCTATTGGCACAATTGAGGTTTAGCATCCAAGCAACGTGCTTCGGTATGGTTTGGTTCAACTTACGGAGCCAGCAATGGGACCCTCGTGGGCAGACTTGCCCTTCACGTTGAAGGTGACGCCATTGGGGGCCTTGGACTTGACCTCAAGGCTGGCTAAGCAGGGTGTCAGCAAATTTGCGCACTTAAGATCATCAAACGCGTCCTCGAAAGAACGCGAAAAGCAGTGGGGGACTCACCGGCGCTGGCGTGGTAGAAGTCCTTGTTAAGGAGCTATTGCGCTGTTTATTAGCACGAAAATCCCTTCTAGGAGATACTGTCATCCGAGGTCTTTCGAAGTCGGAACGACTGAAAAGAAAAGCGTACATCGTTGGCCGCCTTGGCGATGTCAGAGAAAGCAGCAGGAGCAGACATTGTGGAATGGAGGTGGGTGGAGGAATAGAAGGTCTTGTTATGGGAGGTGGTTGGACGGGGGAAAGGATGAGGTGACGAGGGGGAGAAGAAGGGAAAGGGAAACGATGGGGAAACAGGGCAGGAAGAGGTCGTTGAGTCGTCAAAGCAGACAAACAATGGGGAAGCCACGGGAGAAACCCCACGCCCTGATTGGTGGATGCTTGGGCACCGGCAAAAGCCGCTAAGTCCCGTGATGTCGATGCCTGGGGCCGTGCTTCTCCTGCGGCTTCTGCTTCTGTCCGCTTCTGCAAGCTGAGCTGGCCGAGCTGCTACCTTATGTATTGCCAGTTCTTGTTGCCTCGGCTTTCCCTGCACCCTGCAATGAAAATTACTCTTATAGGTACCTAGCCATGTTCTTTCTTCTAAAGGATTTCTCATTCGTTGTGGTTGAGCATTACAATCTGACCATAAAATCTTGAGAGTGTACTCATCAAACTTCTTAACACTCTATCCAAAAGTAGATACATTGGGGATCTTAACGCTACAGCTCCAGTTCATTCTTACAAAAACGTTTTGTTGAGAAGATAAGCAAAGCAATTCCTACTTTTGCGTCCCAATGCCTGACTCCAGGATAAAATCACTCCATGCATGCTTCTATACCCAAAAACTTTGAGAACCCACACACATTACATAGGATCGCATAAATTCGTTTAAACAGCGTTGTTGTACTTGGCGTTGTGAGTGGAAATGGCTCTGATAGATGAGATTCGTCAGTGAACATGGCTTGACATCCGACTCCTACAGCTCCTGCTTACCTTCCACTAGGGTCGGTCTGCTTGGACCATGTGGGTACCCAACGTTCGACGGTGCCCGCGCAAGTGGGGGGGAAGTGCTCATCGAACATCAAGCGGTACCAGTACCTGAATTTCCAAAAGTCAGCTCACACGTCCTTATCACTGATAGACTACAAAAGGAAAAGGCTTGACATACGCCTCCTTGGTGTCGGGGATGTCGGTTCCCCACTCGGGCTTGGGGTTCTTCATCATCTCGTCCGTGATCTGCAGCTCAGCCTGATCCTTGAGGCCATCAATCCAGCTGTAGCCGACACCATCGCTGAACTGCTCCTTCTGGCGCCACAAAATGTTGTCAGGCAGGTAAGGCTCGACAGCAGGCTCGTCGGTGGTGTCGAAAGCCTTGCGCAGAATGTACTTCTCAATACGCTCCTTGGTGATCATCTTCTCAGCGGGGTCGACACCCATGCAAGTCTCCAGGAATTCCTTGTCGAGGAAAGGAACACGGGCTTCCAGACCCCAGGCGGAGGTGGACTTGTTCGCTCTCAAGCAGTCAGCCAAGTGCAAGTTCTTGACACGTCGGACAGTCTCCTTGTGGAATTCCTCCTTGTTGGGAGCGGCGTGGAAGTACAGGTATCCACCGAAGATCTCATCACTGCCCTCGCCACTGAGAACCATCTTGACTCCCATAGCCTTGATCTTGCGGCTCAGGAGGTACATAGGGGTAGAGGCACGGATGGTGGTGACATCATAGGTTTCGAGGTGATAGATGACATCGGAAAGCGCGTTGAGACCGTCCTCCACGGTGAAGGTGAAGGCGTGGTGCTTGGTTCCAAGGAACTTGGCAACCTCGAGGGCAGCCTGGGTATCAGGAGCACCGGGCAGACCGATGGAGAAGGAGTGCAGCTGCTGGAAGGTGGTGACAGTGGAGAGATCGTTCTCGTCATCAATACCAACCAAGTCAGAAGAGACTCCCTGCGCCTGAGCAGTGCGGGCGGCCTCCTGCATGCGCAGGGTCTCACGCTGAGCAATGGAGGCAACCAAGCTGGAATCAAGACCACCGGACAGAAGAACACCGTAAGGAACCTCAGCCATGAGACGCTTGCGGACAGACTTCTCCAAAGATTTGCGAATGACCTTGTAGTCGATAGGGGTGGTGGGGACGTTGGCAGCGTCCCACCACTTGGGCTGGAAGTAGCGGGTGAACTCGCCGGTCTTGGAATCGAAGACATGGCCGGGGGGGAAAGCCTGGATCTTGTCGCAGACGGGGTGCAGAGACTTCAGCTCGGAGGCGAAGTACACAGCACCGGGAGTCTCGGACGACCAGCCGATGTAGAAGCTGGTCACACCAATGGGGTCACGTGCAGCGATAACCCTGTCTTGCTTCTTGTCATAAAGCACGAACGAGAACATGCCGTCGAGGTGCTTGGGGGCGTCCAGGCCATATTCCATGTACTGGGGAATTGATTAGCTCCTGATCTGACACGGGAGCAAATTTTCCCGGGTTTCGTCACACCTACCAGTGGGATAACAACTTCACAGTCAGAGTGTGTCTTGAACTGGTAGTCGGCATTGAGGTTCTTTCTCAGAATACGGTGGTTGTAAATCTCGCCGTTGACGGCCAGGGCGAGAGAGCCGTCATCGTTGACAAGGGGCTGAGCGCCGGAGTCTTGAAAAAGGGTTCCTTGTTAGGTGGTCCGAAGAACGGATGGGCGATGAAGCACGTACCGACACCGACGATACACAAACGCTCATGCGTGAGGACTATAGTTCACTTAGTGTTTGCTATGAGAAATAGACGCGGTTGTGCTCAACTCACTGGTGCTGTCAGAGATCCAGCTTCCGCCTATTCTTGGGTCAGAAAATGCTACTGCTGTCGATCACACTTGAAAGCACTATGACTCACTCCAATCGGGACCGCGGTGGCGCAAGCTAGAAACAACAATCAGCGAAAGATGTACATCACGCAGGCGAGAGAAAAGAGGGGGTGATTGATTGACTTACACCTTGGCCATGCGCAAGGCCGTAGGCTTGAATGCCTGCACATCGGGGTGACTGTGTGGACATGGTCAGTGATTGACTCAACCCAAGCGATGTCGCAGGTCAAGAAAATTGAAGGACAAGGAATGTGGCATGGCCATCGGCATAAAGAGACGTACTGGTGACACGCGAAGATACCACACATGCTGGCGACAATCAATTGAGAAAGCACTCAAAGATTCAGGCAGCAAATATTCCAGGAGCAATTGACCAAACGTTGAAAGGAACCGTCTGGGGGAGAAAGAGGAAGCAGGTGAATTTAAAATATGAGAACGAGCAACCCGTTCCCGGCGGGGCGGAACGAGGGGCGATTTCGGCCACAAGTAATTGGACTGACTCACCCGATAAGATAACCGTGGCCCGTCTCGGACGTCGGACCTTTCTCCCCGGTTCTCATTGGTTTAATTGATCTTCGTGACGTCTGGAAGGTAACTACAGGTCGTAATCAACACTACTATAGAAGGTAGGTAAATCCTAATGCATGGGGGAGTCCATCCAGGACATTCAGGCAATTGTATACCTGTCCCGGATGAGCGGACAAATTGACAACGTGCCAATGTGCCAACGTTCAATCTCTGTTCTGTCTCCATGCGGACGAAATCGGTTGCGATCTAGAAGGTGTGCCAAGAATGAACGGAGAACACCAACCCGGCCAGTGCGGTACGACCTCGGTCGGATTTTCTTGCTCTCTCAATGAAGCCATGCATGGCCACCACGATATTGTTGATTTTGAGACGCCATGCTTCTCGCTAAGGAAAAAAAATTAAACAGACTGGCCAATATGGGGAATACATAAAATAAATCAGCCGGCAAATTTGAAAGGAGAAACAACATGCAAAACTTTTCGAGGACATAAGACGCCATGTAGTCGCTGATCGGAAGAGTTCCTGGACCCAGATATCAATCACCATTCTGTTGCACGAATCTCTCGGTGAAGATTGTCATTTCGCGTCGGAGAAAGAGATGACGAAGTCCGCGGCGATCCGTTCGTTTGCCACAAATGTAGGAAATCGCCGAAAGCTGCATCCGCGCATAGACCAAGGTCTGGTTGTCGCGACAACCGTAGTCGAGTGTGTGTTTGTGTGTTTGGAGTCTAGAATGTACTAAGCGATAGCATTGTTCACTGTACGCATGAATGACATTCAAAGGGCCGGGTTTTCCTTGACCACTTGCTTGACACGTCGCTCATACGCCGGTCGATCCTTCTTGAACAGATTGTATGCCTCAGCCTGGGCGGGTGACTCCGGGTTCGGGTCGTTCAGTAGGTCTTGAATGCCCAGAAGGATCTGTTTGATGGTGATGGCAGGTTTCCATGCCTCCTCTTCATTCAATATCGAAAGGCAGACGGTGCCGGAGGGGTAGACGTTCGGGTGGAACAGCGGAGGGACGAATTTGCCTGCGGGTAATGAAAGCCATATTAGTTTCTGGCGCGCGATATCGTGAGGTTGGCGCAAGACTTTCAAAGTCGCATGGGGATGATTGTTATTGTCAGCTGGGATGCACTTACATTTAGGTGGCTTAGTCGGATATTCTGCGTAGTGGGCCAGCAATCAGTTATGGCCTGTCGCACAAAGGAAAAAAGCTGATGACCGAGAAGTTGAACTCACCATCTGGAAACGTAACGTCGAGCTTGAAAAGCCCACCCTCCCATAAGGTTTGCGCCTTCCCAGGAATACCGCACTCCCATCTCTTGAGGTCGAGCGCCCCTTGAGGGTTGCGATGGGGCCTCGCGTAGAATCCGAAAGGGTGGTCTCGACGCCACTGCTTTCTTCATGTGGGGGGCGCAATATCAGAGGTTAGCGCACTAGCCTGACTATACCATGGCGCATCCATGGAGGTGACAGAAACCCTCACCTTTCTTCTGTAAGGCGGTTTATGCAGAGCGACATGTCGAATATACGCAATTCGCGTGGGTGGGGGAGACTTGGAAGCTGAAAGTGGGAGGATAGATGACTGACGCTGGAAAGAGGTGACCAGGAAGTAGCTAGGTGCAGAGATGAGGAGGGATAGAAGGAAAGAGAGAAGAAAAGAACACAGATGTGTTATATGAATGGACGGGAAAGTCCACGGGTGTAGGTTACCTAGTAGTAGTTTAGTTTAGGCCTAGTGAATGTGAATGGATGTGCACAACGGAAGTTCCAGATCATCCCGGCCTGGGAAACTGGGCACTGCCACCAGTTGTCGCCCGCCTCGCCCACCGGCTATCGATCCGCCCCACAGCCAATCAGTCTCGGGAGCTGCTGCAGGTCATCCTCATCACATGACATATTGGGCTATAGTTGTCTCTCAATCCCCGCCTGATTACTGGTCCGAGCATCGACTACATTGCGAACATGTCTTTGTTATAGTAAGACAATGCATGAACCCGTCGCCTTATGAATGAACCTACCATAATAGACTGATAACCCAAGGCCTGCAAGCCATGGGTGACAAAGGCTTTATCGGAAGGTCTCCTCTGACCATGGGGACTGTGATTATTCAAGCTAGGTCTCACATACACCCTGTTAATTATTTAAGTAAAAATGGCTTGCTCGCAGCGTGCTTGATCATGCTGCCTGTCACTTCGCTTGGCTCGATCTACTGACTTCAACGCCGCAGCATATTAGCCAGGGTACAAGGAAAATCATCATCAGTCGACCTGTTATCTAGCGGGGAGGGCTATCTTTCTGTACAATAATACACCATTGACCCACTTCCCAGCAGTCGACCTCTGATCACGCATTCAGGATGTGCCATAAGATTCGTTATTACTTTTCTGGGTGTACATGCATCGATGTGTCCCGTGACTTTGATATCAGATGCGATGAAGCATTGAGAGTGGGGTATGAATGTGCCAACCCTGAAGCTACTGGGATCCCAATGAAGGGGCTATGTCCCGACTGCCAGGAGTACTACAGAGAGTATTATGAAGCAATGCGTACGTCCAGCGAGCCAGAGACCCCAGTCCCCGAAAGTCAAGCGGTCGACATCTGCAAACCCGTTGAGGAGAAACTAGAGTGTCAATCCGGTGTTTCGGTTCCTGAAGGTCACGATGTCAGCATCGGGAGGGAAACTGAGGAACCAAAGTGTCAAGCCGATAATCCCGTCCCGGAGACTGCGGAGGTCGACATCCCCAACCACATTAAGGAACCAATGTGTCACTTGGGGATTCCAGTCCCTAAACGTCAGGGAACTAAAGCCTGCAGCGACATCGAGGAACCAAGGCGTCCCACCGGTATTCCAGCCCCTAGACGTCAGGAAGTGAAAGCCCGCAGCGAGGTAGACAAGAAAGCAAGGTACCAGTCTGGTCTCCCAGTTCCCAAGAACCAGGAAGCCCAAATATGCAACCAAGTGGATGAGAAGCCAAAGCGCCAGACTAGCATCCCACTCCCTAGAAACAGGAAGTCAAGCCAAGCAACGAGGTGGGTAAGAAACCAAGGGTTCAGTCTGGTATCCCACTCCCTAGGAAACGAGAGGTCAAAACACACAACAAGCCTGCTCCGGACTCAAAGAACGCTGAAAAGTCCGAGCCTTCTGACGAGGGTTTATTCGGTAGAATCACTTTCTGACTTGCATGACCAGTCTCGATAAGGGTACACGTGAGACTTGAAGAATGTAATATATGTTCCTCCGTCACGTCATTATTCGCGCTCGAAGATAGCTAGATTATCACTAGGTTCCATTTCTATTGACCATCATAATCCCCTTCCTCAAACCTCTGTGTATCGTAGAACCGCGCAGTAATGGCGTTTCCATTGAATATTCGGCCCTCGAGAGCATTAACCGCCTACAAGCCTCATTAGTACACTGGACAGTAACTGATGAGTGACATGACTGGGTATTGCCTTACCCGCAGCGCCGAAAGCTGATTGGTGAATTTCACAAACACTGGAACAGGGGGCTTCATCGAATCTCGTGGGATGTAAACTCGCTCGACACGGCCGTACTGCTCGCAAGTTAGATAGAGCAATCGTCAGGGGTTCTCGTATAATCACTGACCTTGTCGGAGCATTCTTCTCCAATCTCCTGCATGAGACCCCCGCTTTCTCCGTCGCCAGCCAATTCAGCCTCAAGATCCATCCCATCAAGCATGCCCTTGAGAACGATTACTTCACTCATTGGGCCGAATTTGCCTTCTTCCTCGTTCTTCCGCGCACCGCCAATGACCTTACCCCGTCCAGCAGGCGTCACAAAGCCACCCCCTTCTGAGTCCGGCCGTTTCTTCTGTTTTTCAACTTTGACCTGCAGTGGCTTGACAATTCCGGACCCTGTGGCACCAAGGCCAGAGCCCTTTGTCCAGCCATACTTCGCCATGAGTCGTTCCGCGAAGCCCTTCTGACCCGGTCTTAAGGAGCGCTGACCATCGTCTCCTGGCTCATCATCAACCGGTTGCTCCTTGGCGAACACTTCTTCAAGCTCTGCTTCCGAGGCAGGTATGTCCTCAGGAGGAGGAGGTAATGTGTATCGAACCGGAGCGCGAGATATGGTCGCAGAAGCTGGCTGCAATTCATCCAGAGGCCGCGGCGGAGGCGGTGGAGGGGGCACTGCTGAGCTCCCTGCCGTCGACATCTGGAGCCTTCGCAGATAAGCATCCTCGCCTGTGGGGTCGTCGGGAACATGGGCTGGTGGTTCATCTGGCGGCGGGGGCGGGGGAATCCCTCCCATCGACACATCATCCAGAGTTTCGGTTCGTTCTTCAGTGGATGGTGATTCCACAGGTGGCCTGGGCGGAGCATCGTTAAGGCCCGGGGGCGGTGCGAAACTGCCGGGGGGCGCGAATTGACCTGGAATCCTATGGTGAGCAAATGAACGTTCTCGTCATGTCAATAGTGTGAGCTTACGGTTCCTTGGCCGTGCATAGTCATCATCATCATCACTGTATGACTCCCTACTGGGCGATCTTGCCATGCGATGTGCATATAGACGGTCTTTCCACTCTCGGATCTCAGCTATCTGCTCGTCGCTATGCTTGTATTCCTCATAATTGTTTGGCCGAGACGGATCGTAGATATCATCCCAGTTCTGTATAAATTCTTGCACTTCCCGATTCTTCTTGCGCTTCTTGCGACCTCCGCGCTGCCTCTTCGGCCCAGCATAGAACCCGTTGACATCGTCATCTTCGGTAGCCGCCCAGTCTGCAAGGGTGGTTCTGATTGATGCAGCGGCCGGCGTGGCAGTGATTGGAGCTTTAGGCAGTGTGGGCTTCGGCTTAGGTTTCTGAGTAGCGAGTTGAGGTCTTCTGGTAGGTTGAAATCGGAGAGAAGCTGAATGCCACCGACATGAATCACCGGGCGGACAAGTGAGCAATCAGATCGATCAAAGAGACGACAAAGTTCGCTCAAAAGAGAAGGGCATGAGTCTACCGGCACTGAGCTGCTGCTTTTTAGCGGCTGGATCATCGGATTGGGCCTCGGCCTCAGCGCCCTGTCTGAACACAACAGGCGCGCGAGAAATCGTTCCGGGAGAGTTATCCGCGGAGGGGTCCAGCAGATTGGCATATAGTGACAGGCCTCCTCCAGGCTTAGGAGGGGCGGGATCGGAGCTCATGACGAATGGCGGCTAAGTCTATTCAGCGATAATAACGTGTACTAGATAGATTCAAAGATGGTGTGGTCATAAAAGACAAGTCCGCTAAGCTTGGATGACGCAAATCCCCGACGACTCTCATAGACTCGTCTGAGGTTTGATGATCATGAGAAGCGGCAGTTCCGGCGAAGCGGTGGCCGCTACACTCCACCGCCTTCCACACCGTCCAGACGGCAGTATGTCAACAGCCTCGGGATGCAATTATTCCAGGTCTTCACCGCCCGCGAAGCCAGCAGAACGAGGATTCAATCACGTGACCGGGTGGTGAACTGGAGCCCCAGAGTTGAATTAGGAAATCCCGATGCCAAGCTGAGCCTGGAGTGAGCCCAGCCCAGCCCTAAAGCAGAGTGGAACGGAACAAAGTATCCGGCCCGTACTGGCACTAACTATGTAGGGATTGGAAGATGCCTACCGGTTAAGGTCATGATGCAATTACCTGACTGGCATGATTGCCTGCAACTCTGCGTTGTTCTTGACACTGAAGAAAGCCTTTGACGCAAAAGAGTCACATTGTGCCATTGTGCCATTGTGCCATTGTGTTATTGAAATCACCATCATTGCAATACTCATTTGAAGTACCCATCGATTCTCCCAAACATCCCTGACAGCCAAGACCCAAGTGTCACCCTCGTGCAGCACACTACTCGCCATGGCAACATTGGCGCGGTCATTCTCCTCCGATAGTGCGGATATCGCCATCCTAGTGCCCAATAAAACCCATCCTCTGGCGATCACCTATCAGCAGTTGCACAAGCATATCGCCGGCTTCCAGGCCAAGTTAGCCAAGCTTGGGGTCGGACATGGCGCCGCCGTGTCCCTGGCGCTGACCAACTCGTACGAGTTCATCGTGGCCTTTCTGGCCGCCTCGTGGCAGCGGGCGATCGCCGCGCCGCTCAACCCGGCCTATAAGCAGGAGGAGTTCGAATTCTACATCGACGATCTCAGCTCCACCCTGGTCTTGATCCCCCAGGGTTCCTATGCGAAGGAAGGTCCCGCCGTTCGCGCGGGGAGGAAGTACAATGCCGCGATCGCCGAGTGCTACTGGAACGGTGCCGAGATCGTGCTCGATGTGAAGGAACAGGGCAAGCTGTCTGGCAATGGAGGTGTCAGTGTCCAACAAGCTCAACCCGATGATGTTGCTCTCGTCTTGCACACGAGCGGAACCACTGGCAGGCCCAAGGCTGTACGTCTCATGCCCTGTTCCCTGTGATCAGGTCCGGTTTGTTATTTTTTCCGGTATCAACAACTAACCACTCTCACAATCAGGTCCCGCTCACACACAAGAACCTGACCACCACAATGCGTAAGCATCCAGTCCTTGCCCCAGCATATCCTCCAAAAAAATAACAAAAAAAACCCCTCCCGATCTAACCAATCCCCGCACAGGCAACATCAAAGCGACATACAACCTCACCCCAGCAGACCGGACTTACCTGGTGATGCCCCTCTTCCACGTCCACGGTCTGCTAGCCGCATTCCTGGCGCCTCTGTACTCCGGGGGCTCGGTGATCGTTCCCGCGCGATTCTCGGCGTCGGAGTTCTGGTCCGACTTCATCACCTACCAGGCGAACTGGTACTCCGCGGTGCCCACGATCCACCAGATCCTCTTGAAGACCCCCTTACCCAACCGCATCCCGGCCATCCGCTTCATCCGGTCATGCTCCTCCCCGCTCTCCCCCAAGACCTTCCAGGACCTCGAGAAAGCGTTGAACGCCCCGGTGCTCGAAGCCTACGCCATGACGGAGGCCGCGCACCAGATGACCAGCAACCCCCTGCCCCCGGCGAAGCGTCAGCCTGGCAGCGTGGGTCTCGGCCAGGGGGTAGAAGTGCGGATATTGGACGCGGCCGGCAAGGAAGTGGCCCAGGGCCAGGAGGCGGAGATCTGCGTGCGCGGGGAGAATGTCACCAAGGGGTACCTGAACAACCCGGAAGCCAACAGGTCGTCCTTCACCGAGGACGGCTTCTTCCGCACCGGCGACCAGGGCAAGCAGGACGCGGACGGGTACGTGATCATCACGGGCCGCATCAAGGAGCTGATCAACAAGGGCGGCGAGAAGATCAGTCCCATCGAGCTGGACAACACCCTCCTCCACCACCCCAAGGTGGCGGAGGCGGTGTGCTTCGCCATCCCCGATGAGGGTCACTACGGCGAGGAGATCGGGGCGGCGGTGGTGGTGAAGAACGGTGCGAGTGCCACCGAGGCCGAACTCAAGGCCTGGGTGGAGTCGAAGTTGGCCAAGTTCAAGACGCCAAAGAAGGTATGTCTGTCGCTGCTGGCTGGTTTTTTTTTGGCACCGAAATGGCTGCTGCTAACACGCATGATTTCCACAGATCTGGCTTGTCCCGCAGATTCCCAAGACAGCTACGGGGAAGATCCAGCGGCGCAAGGTGGCCGAGGCGATGCTGAAGGTCAAGGCCAAGCTGTAGTCTCGTAAGGTTTGGGAATGCCTTAGAATATAGATCTTGCTCACGCAACATACGAAAAGAGTAAGGCGGATGTTTGCACTATAGATAGATATCTTGCTGTTATTATCATCGCTGTCCTAAAGGTCACTATCGTTAGTTATTCTATCACCTGTACGCGTCTCGTATCTCAACACGGCTCAGAGAAACCAAAACCCCTGGCCCTGTAGCCCTGTAGCCCCAGTATAAGCTTGAATAGAGCACACTCTCTTTCTGTGCACAAACCCGCAATCTGATCTTTCCCAAACATCTCAAGATCGAAGCAACAGACAAACAAGAACCCAATCGCCCAAACGGTCCAAACCCAAAAAAGACGCTCCAGCTCCCGAAACACCCTTCCCCTCAGTTAAACCAATACATGAACCCACTCCATCCGACCGCACTCTACAGGTTCCCTCTAGCAGCCTGGTCGCGCTCAAACGCCTCGAACAAACTCCGAAAATTGCCCGCCCCAAACCCATCGAAATTCTCCCGCTGGATGATCTCGATGAACACCGTGGGGCGGTCGACCACATGCTTGGTGAAGATCTGCAGCAGGTAGCCGCCCTCGTCGAAATCGATGAGGATGTTGTACCTCTGCAGGGTGTCTATGTCCTCGGCGATGCTGAGGCTGCTCGCCGCGAGCCGCTTCTTCATGGTCGTGTAGTAGTTGGCCGGCACGGTGAGGAAGTTGACGCCGCGCTGGCCGAGGTTCTCGACGGCGGCGATGATGTTGGCTGTGCGGA